TCTGGGGCTGTTTTGCTGCTTCAGGACCTGGAAGACTTGCTGTGGTAAATGGAACCATGAATTCTGCTGTCTACCAAAAAATCCTGAAGGAGAATGTTCGGCCAACATTTCAGTGTGACAAACATGCAAAAAAAAAAAGAAATCAGGAAGGGGGCAAACAGTTTTTCACACCACTGTTCATTGTTGCATCGTCCAGGTGGGACAAAACACTAGTGGTGATGGAGGGGTGCTTTCAGTGGAATGTCCAGAAAAGTGTATTATTATTCTATAAATATATTAGTTACCTCAAGGCATTCAAGTCAGAAAGTGCTAAGTGGTAAAAGTATGCCTAACTATTTTTTTTTAAATAACGTTATGTATTATAATATACATACAGTACTCTGTATGATAAAATTCTTTTTACCATTTACCACGATGCTGAAAGCAGTATCATCAACTCTATAAAAATGAATATAAATTCTATTAAATAAAGTGTTGTGTGCAACCATTCCTTTCAAATGCAAATGTTATTGCTAAAATTTCAAAATTTGTTTTTAATCCTAATTGTAAAGTGGTAACAGGTGGTGCATAGAATTGCATTGCACAAATTAGGGACTGTGAAGCACAGTGTGACAGCTATGTCATTTCTCTGTATGAATCACTGGAATACAAACAACCCTGCATGCTGTCATCTCAGATACTGTAGCAACTAAAGACTTACTGCACAGGATCAGCAGGTCTCTTGGATGTAGGGGAGCTAAGCCATTTAAAGTTTTGTGTGTCAAATACTTTGTAAATTTTGTAAGTCAAAATCTTTTCTACATTTTTTAAAATAAAACTGATTTTTTTTTCTCTCATCTTAAAACAAAAAGCAAATTTAGTTTATTATTAAGTTGACATCTCTGGGTTCACCTGTGCGTCGAGTTTGTATTTTCTGCACATTCCAGCGTGGTCTGTCTCCAGGACGAACTACAGTGCATCCTATAAAGAATATTCATTTAACTATAGCTATCAATTAAGCGAAACGATTTATGTGACTGGTGGTCTTCAAGGGTGCTCATGTCCTATAATGTTAAGATTGAGCACATGTATACATGTTTTTATTGGTTAGTAGAAGCCTTCAATATTGGACATGATGTACTGTATTTTGACCTTTCCAGGTCCTTCTCAGATCATCATGGAAATGAATTCAAAACTATTAAAAGCTTTCTTTAAATGCAGAATCTCATTTAAAAGGTCTGTATATTGAACTGACTGTAATTTTCTAAACATGCCAGCTATGATGAATAATTCTTAGCTTGCGTGTAGGACTTACTCCCTTTGTTTGAGCTGACTCATGAAACATTACATAAACAAAGCAAATTTGTGGTATTACTTAATCGGGGGCATAGATTTGAGATGAACTCAACCACTATTCTAATGCAGTCATTGCAATGAAGGCACACGTCAACAAGTATTCTTTTAAATTGTGATGAAATGAAAATACCTATATTTGAGAAACAAACTGTTTTAACAAAGCTTTAGCTGCCTGAGTACTTGTTTTTTTTTATCTTAGCTAAACATCAGTTTCCTGGAAATACAGTATACTGTAGTATATGCTTGGTTGGTGGCTGTGAAAATGTTTTGATTAAGTCCCCCTCTCCATCTTTTCTGTAATGTTTTAAGCCCCCCAAAGGAAAGTTGAAACAGTGAAGTTTGCATTTTACTACTTTCTCTGATATAGTAGATACTAATATTAGTTATCCCCTCACAGAGTAGACCTGCCACACACATTCCAAAAGCCACAATTATAAAATAATAACTGTCAAACAGAAGTTCAAAACAAAGCCATTTTCCCTATTTTTTTAAATGGTGATCTATTGTCATTAGAGTCATGATGACCGAGTTGGTCAAGAGCAGTGAAGGACTACATCCCAAATGGGTTTTCATGAAGAAAAGTCAATACTAAAGTCAATGTTCTGAAAATACACAGAGAAAGTGCTCTTTTGCGCGTGATCTGTTAACACTGAGCAAATTGTAAACACGCTGCTTTCTTTTGCATATACAAACTTTACAGAGGAAAAAAAGCATTCACATTAACATCAGATCGATATTGCGCAGTGTAAGCTAATTAAGAACCTAAGCACTTCCCTGAGCCTGCTGAGGTCAAGAATGCCTTTTAATTTTATTAAAACAGTTTGGATAAACCTTTTTTTTTTAAACCTCTAGCTTTATACACAACAATCAGTCTATACTCCTGCCCTTTCCTTATTGTTAGCTTTCAAGCAGAAATCCAGGAATATTTGCATTAAATCTCATAAACAATGATGGGAAATAAAAAAAGACTTTGCAGAATTTTTAAAAGTGCCGATGTCTTGTAATACTATCAGAAGGCTTTCTAAGAAAAAGGGAGGTAAACAAATTGGCTGTTTGTGCAACATGAAATTTCGCCTGTGGGGGGGAAAATTCAAACCCAAGCACAGTCAATGACCATAGTTAAGATGACAGCAGATGTTATCCAATGACAACAAGATGTGCTTTCAAGATCTGTAGTTTATAACAATATAAGATATGTTATTCACCCCGGCCCTTCAGCACCAATAATAAACCCGGTACTGCTGAATACAACTTTTTCTGAATGTCTCATTTCTTCACCATCAGGGTTCATCGATTTCATTGTGGAGCCCACCTTCACTGTGCTCACTGACATGACCGAGAAGATCGTTACTCCTCTCATTGATGAAGCTTCTCGCTCTGGTCTGACTGGGTTCCGGCGGTCCAGGTGAGGAAAAAACGTTTTCCCATCTCTGCTTCCTCAGGTGAGATTATTGACTGGCTGCCTGACATCGTTTATCTAAGATGTCAAAGGCGAAGAGGAAACATGAGCTCTACCAAATCACCTTTTCGTAACTACAGGTGAATGGATTGGTTGCTCAAAATCTAACGTTTTACCCGAGTACAAATTTCTTTGTACAGGTATGTCCCATATATCTCTTGGAAACATCTGGTAATTTTATAATCTTTACCATAAGATTTATCACCCAGCCCCTATCACACTTATCTTTGTGACTTTTGGACCACCTTCCCAGTGTCTTGAATGAGGTGCCCCTCCATCAATGGCTCTCCCAAAGCAATCACAAGAGCCCGGAGAAATGACCGAAGGATTTCTGCACGGGCAGGGACAGAGTCCCATATTCTTGCCTATCTGAGCCATGAGTTGAGGTCCACTTTGCTTCCAAAAGTTCTTAACGGATCCCACTCATTGTTTTCTAGAAAAAAAAAAAGTATTACATTTTGGGAAAAAAAAACAAAACAAAAACAAACATAAAACTGGGGGCTCAGAAGAAAGATAACCCAGATAGGAAATAATCACAGCAGACTCTGTCCCAGTTTAATCCAGCTGTGATTCCTTCTGTAGCGGGGCTTTCTTCAATTGAATGTAACTTAGTGCAATTTAAGAGTATCCATCTAGTCTCCATCCAGCCTCCTAAAATCCATTTGTTTGGCTGCAGCAACACAAATGATCAAACATCGTAGCTGAACACCGATAGAAACCTGGGAATTGTCATTTTGCAGGAGTGGTGAAAGCTTCTTTGGTACTGTCACCCCAAATTCAGTATAAATCCAAAAGCACATTGGTCACACACACCCAAAAAATGCTGTGTCATAGGAGAATCCTATAACGTACTGTTGCAGGTACATCCCACGCTATGATTGGGGTGGTAGGGAGTGATTCCAACCTGTTACCACCGTAGTGTAAATTCCCAATTCAGGGTTTACAATTCAGTAGTTGCTCTGCTATGCTACATTTTTAGAAGAAAAGGTATATGAACTCATTCATTTTTTACACTTGTCCAGTACAAGGTACATTTGGATAAATTTAAAATTAACATCATTCTCCAACAGTAATAAAAAGACTTTAAAACATCACTGAATTACAATAATTCCTCACACTTATATGCAGGTCAATGACAATGAGATACTTTTAAGTCCGCCATCATTTTTATTGTTATTGTCTAATAAGAACAAAATTGAGAGAGTGAAAAAAATAAAATAAAGAAGTCCTCCAAAGTTGGGGGGGAGGAGGTGGGTTAAAAAAAAGGTCCACCATCATTTCACATCCACAGTATTTTTCCCCATAAACAGTTTGATTGTCCTTTCTTGCCTTACCACTCATAATATGTAGGGAAGAATATGTAATTAGAACAACAGCCCCCCATGTGTACTTAGTCTGTGAGTGGTCTCTGAGCATCTCTGCAACACCTCTGTCTCCTTCTCAATGTCATTCTCAATTGACATGTTTTTCCTTCAATTCATTCTAGGCAGTGATTAAACATTTTCCTTTTCCTGCAATGGAAAATTGAAAATAATGGGTACTATAGACATTGTCATTTTAAGTTGCTGCATAAATGGGATCACGACTATTTCCCGTTATAATTTATTTTTCAAGCAGCTGGCATATCTTAATAAAGCACACATTTAATGCTTGGCAATAAGGAGCATGTATTTATCTTCTAAGAAGTGCTCATGCTTCTTATTTTAGGCAGGTAATTAATCAGTCTTAGGCAGTTCCCTGCAGTAGCATTGAACAAATATTGTGTTCTTGTTATCATTAGCGTGTTCGTTTTTTTAAAATGAAGCTCGAGCACACTGATGAGAGAAAATTAGCCATACAACTCTTGTGGATTCTCTCTCGAAATCATTGTGTGCCCAGTCAGAGATGAAATCTTCCATCAGTGGGTTTTCTTTCATCTCTTCTGGCAGCTTTGCCTGTAAAACACTTTCTCTGTTGGGGGTAGACCTGAATCAAGTGACGCAAGCAAAAACATTTAAATACTCTTCCCACATACAAAAAGGGATTCCAGACATCTCTTCAGAGAGCATTTGCAGAGGCTGTATTTCACTAACGTTTTTTTTCTTCAGGGTTTTTGCATGCATCCGGCATTCTTAATTTGTCCCAGATTTTTAAGACACTTTTCGTTTGTGCTTCTGCCCCAACATGAATGTCTCGTTGCTGCTGAGCATTAAATGTTGACAAAATTAATATTTCAATATTATTCGTCTAAATAACTTATAACCCAAAGACGCAAGCAACGTAGTGCTCATGAACTATGTTCACATCTTCATACTTTGTTAGCCCTGATGTTGTCCACTAGCCCTTTATCAGATGTTCACCCTCAGCTCTGATGAACAAGGTGGATAGAGTATAACTCCCTCTGGCTTTAAGGAACTATGAGAGTTCTGTCAGTTCTTCTTTAAAGGGGTCTCACTCTGTTTCCTATCTTCTGTATCTCTGAACAGTTTGAACAGTATTACCCCTTCAGAAGTGAAAAGGTCCAGTGTTAAGAGCACAGGGTCTGAAGGAAGTGCCTCACTAAACTGTTCCCTACTCACTGTGGACTTCAAAAATTTCAAAGCCACCTGGAATGAGGCAGTCCAGCAGAACAGAGAGAAGTGGAAGATGCAAGCTAACAAAGGTTTGGAACAACTATAGACTGTTTAACTGGCTTCAGATTCAATACATTGGTATCAAATTTGGATTTAATATATATTAAAATATAGTATATTTGGATTTTTTTATTTTATAAAAACGTCATTGGAAATGACTTGAAAAATTGCCCACACAACCTGGGAGTTGACTATTGGGTATAACTCAGTTTATACATGGGGAATTCCTGTCTCACTCGGGAGAGAGGACTTGCAAGAGACTTCCTATGGTTTGGGACAAACAAAAACTCGTAGTGACTACAGTGAAGTAGACCACACAAACAAACCACAAGGACAAATATACTGTATATATACACATTTTAATCTCACAAAGGAGGAACAGATATATTCAAACCTGACATAACATACAGGTTTATGCAAAACATGTCAATAATGTGATTGTTATGTTTTGTCTTACCTGTAATATCCTGACTAGGTACATGTGCGAAACCTCTTTCTTCAGGTATAAACCCCACCATGTGCGTCTGTGATTGGCTAGACGTGAGCAAGTAGGGGGAGCAAGGTGTTTAAAACGTGTGTTGGAGGGTTAAGGTTAATTTAAAGTGTGTGGTGAATAGTTGGAGGAACAGGTGTACAAGAAACTCAGATCTCTGGAGTTCCTTGCAGCACAACCTAACCGCAGAGAGTTTAGAACAAAAATCTACAAGCAGGTTCAGTTGGAAGTACTGTATACGTACAGTGGCTGTAGAAAACAGTCAGAACACCCGTTTATTAATAAATAACCAAATACGAAACTATTAATTATGAAAGCCATTCTAATGAATTATAGTTCATTGATACAATTATTTATAAAATCTATCAATTGAATTGAAATGAATAATGGTGAGGCACTGACGCTTTGCTTTGCGATTCTGTATAACGTGCAAGCACAACCACAGTGGCACAAACGGGAAGGAGAAATCGGCTTTGCACGGAAATTACACAAACATTTCAACACCAACTCCTGGGCAAGCCAGGGTGACTCTCTAAAAAGATACTACAGAATCGGAGCCGCAATGAAAGTGTATCCTCTAGATTGCAAGTGAGCTCCGCACCTAACTGGACAAAACTAGTGAACGTTTAAGATCTACGGCAATGCAGTTCACACCAAGATGAAGCTCGGTTTTTAAAAAAAAATTAAAAAAAAACTTCTCCTCTCTCAGACCTAGAAGAGAAGACCCGGAAAGAAGCCGAGGAGAAAGCCCGACAGGAGGAAGAGGAGAGGAGGGAGCGAGAGAAGGCTGAAGCTGGTGCTCCCGACCAAGCTCAAGAGCAGCCCGGCGAGCAAACCGAGGACAAGGAGCCGCAGGACAGCAGCGCAAAGGACGATACGAACCCCTCAGAGGCCAAGGAAACAGCAGCCAGTTCAGAGACCAGCCAGCAGGTTCAAAACGGTAGGTTCAGCGCTCTTACAATCGCATTGTTACAAACAAACAGAAAAAGACCTCTCTAGCACACAAAACAGACTTATGTGTTTCTCAGTCAATAATTTGTTAATGATTATTAGCGGACTTAATGCATGAAAGTTCCCTTTGCGATCACTTTATCTGGCCAGGAAAACAACTTCTAAAAGAATTTGGAGGGTTTTTTTTGTTGTTGGTGGTGGTGGTGGTGGTGTTGTAAGACATCTCACCGTATTTTTTGTGGTCTGGGGCCATTTTACTTGTTGCATTTCCCATTTATATAAAAATTGGTGTCTGCGTAAATTGATTTCACAGACGTCTTTGAACGTCCAGTACTTCAAGTTTATTGTCGGTTCTTTTAATTCCTGGAAGAATCTCACTTGTATCTTTGGTCTTGATCTGTGATCTGTTTCTTTGCTAAAGGCCTCCCTCTGCTGGTGAGTTACTGATATTGGTCCTTTAGGTTGATTTTTAGATTTTGATTGGACTGCAAAAAATCGGTTGACTTGTTGTTTTTTTCTTTGTATGCTTGTGTTTTCCCTTACCCGTTTTACAATGTGTTCATTAACTCTGAAACAAATTAACCATTTATGTGTTGCAACAATTCGCTTACAAAAAATACTATTGAGTATTAACGCGACGATTATCTTTTTGATGTTGCTGGCCTTGATATATTCTTCAGTAAATTACTTATATTTAACCCCAAACCAGATGGGGAAATTGTGCTGAAAAAGTAATAAAAAGGATTATTCCTCTTATTGTTTTATGAATTTAACAATAAAATATAAAAATATATATTTTAAATCATAACATGAATGCAGAGGAATGTAATAATAATACAGTATTATAATAATATAACGTAACATAATATCAGACTTAATGAAATTGGCAATGGGCAGGATTAAAACAATGAAGTTGAGATGACGTTCTGGCAGATTTTTAGCTGTGAGTCAAAAACAAAAGGAAAAGAATATTCCTTTATTCATTGTTTTCCTCTCTCCTTAATTATCATCACAAACACCCCAATCACCCAGTGTCACTTGTGGACTGTTTATGAGGACTAAATTTCACGGTCAAGTCCTTCACCCACACTCTGTATACACAGCAGGCCTGTCCGCCTGCAGAGAGCACATTTAGCGGCCAGGCTACGTTTGAGTGATGAATAAACAAAAGAGCCTTCTGTTTACATGATCCAAATGGATTTATTTAAAGGAAACCACTGTTGAAAGAAGGACTTCTTCATGGAAATGAAGAATTTAATATGAGGTCCAAGGACTTCAGGGCATCTTCAGGACACAAGAAGCCATCTGACCCTTCCAAACCTAGTGGTGTGTTAAATCAATGCTCACACAACGTATCTGCTCTGGCAGGGCTTACTTACGGTGTGTTTAATCACCATTTACACAATGGATGGACCTGCTCTGATTGGGCTTATAGTGTGTTAAATCATCAGTTATACAATGGACCTGCTCTGATTAGGCTTATAGGGTTTTAAATCACCAGGTACACAATGGATCTGCTTTGTCGGGGCTTATAGTGTGTTAAATCACCTGTTGCACAATGGATCTGCTCTGATTGGCCTTATAATGTGTTCAATCACCAGGTATACAATGAATCTGCTCTGATTGGGCGTATAGTGTGTTAAATAACCAGGTACTCGATTGATCTGCTTTGTCAGGGCTTATAGTGTGTTAAATCACCTGTTACACAATGGATCTGCTTTGTCGGGGCTTATAGTGTGTTAAATCACCTGTTGCACAATGGATCTGCTCTGATTGGCCTTATAATGTGTTCAATCACCAGGTATACAATGAATCTGCTCTGATTGGGCGTATAGTGTGTTAAATAACCAGGTACTCGATTGATCTGCTTTGTCATGGCTTATAGTGTGTTAAATCAACATTCATACAATATATTTGCTCCAACATTGTTTACAGGTGTTAAGTCAATACTTGCTCAGTGGATCTGCTCTGATGGGGCTTACCGTGTGGTTAATTTAAGTCATAAACCAGGTTCTGCTGCTTAAACCTCCAGACATACAGGTAGAAATTGACTGATGTCTCATTGGGTTTTTAAAATGTTGATTAATATTTGCATAGTGGATGTGTGCTCTGATTGGGTTAACAGTGTGTTGAATCACCTTCCAAAAGTGCTGACATCGGCACCATTTGCCACCGGCAGTTCTGCTTTCGATATTTGATATTTCACAGCACTATTGTTTAGAATAGATGCTTCAGTCCGGATTAGAGTTTAAATTGGGAATCCTTATAGTGATGCATTTCTTGAAACATGTCCTTTATTCAGAAAAAAAGGCCTGCATTAAAAGCTTCTGCTTTCCAGCACAAAAGACAGAGATGGGGACATTTTGCTACTGGCAAAGCTTGGAAATTGTGTAGGTACATAGGTGTATTCCGATAATGATTCTCTGAGGCCTATTTCTATTTGGGGAAAAATAAAAAATCTAATTACTCAAGGAGGAGATATCCAATCATATAAAGTGGCATTTATTTCTGATTGGACATAAAAGCAAAATTGCACATACAGTAATATGCATCATGATCATTTAAGAATGTGTTATATAAAATAATAAATATAATAAAAGATACAAAGAAGGGGGGACCATTTAGCCTGTCTAGCTTTGTTTTTAGCTAGTACAGTAGGTGATTGACACAAGGATCCTATCTAGTTGATTTTTAGGGGAAGCCAGTGTCAGCTTCAACACATCACTCTATCGCTTATTGTAACTTTACTCTCAAAAGCCTTTCTGTAAATAAATACGTTCAGTTCTCTTCCTTCAGTGTACTTCCTCTTAGTTTCCAATTTTGTCCCCTCACAGCCTCCTTTGGTCAAGACTAAAAAGAGATTCAATTTCTGTATCTGTTTCTGTAAGGTATTTCTTTAAGAATTGGCTTTCTTTGGGCTGATCTCAGGGCTTCGATGTGATTTCGGTAATGTGGTGACCAGTCTTTTACAAAGTATAGTACTGTAAATATTTTGAGTACCTCATTAAGGTAAAACAAAGGTATTGATGAGTTGTGTGCAAAAGTGATTTTAACAATGACATATATAATCGAGTATATGTCTCCACCTTGTGACAGAAATCAAAAGAATCATAATTAAAAGTCTGATGTGTGTATTCGTAGTCATTTGTATGAGAGAAGTCACTGCTTTTATGAATTGGATTTGATCTGCATATTTTTCTTTAGTCTCAAACAGTTCTCTAGTGACTAGCTGACTAAATTCTGTCATTTTTCTCTTGTACACTCCTCTTTGCTGTTAACAACATAAAGTATAACAATCAGTGCAGACTGGGATTGATAATTAAGCACCTTTGAAAAAGAAAACTTAAAGGGATCTTAAAATGGCACATACTGTAGTTTGTCAATTGCAGTTTAGCGAAACCAATGCTTAACATTCTTCCCTCAGCATAACGGATCCTTTAAATACTTTAAAAGTTTCTGTGATGTAATAAATGCAAAGTTTTAATGTTGTAAAGAAACAGTATGTTTTCTTTATTAAAAAATAATCACATCTATTTGGGTACTCTACATTTGGGTACTAACATGCGTGGATTTATTCATTTTAAATTTGTTCAAACCGTTTATTTAATTACAAAGCACCTAAGCCTCAAACAGTGATGATGGGAGCTTCTCAGCACAATATCCTTCTAAACATTGCTCAGTTTTAGGCCAAAATACAGTATATATCCTATACTCTTTTCTGAAATATTGCAGAATCATAACTCACAAAGATAGTTATTGTAATTTTATCAAAGTAACATTATACAAGACTACAACTCCAGAAAATGCTCATCTGTTTTGATCTGCAGAAAGGGTGAGAATCTCAGCGAGGTACAATTTTACTGATACTTTACTTAAAGATTTGTATATAATTATGAACTGTACTGATCTACTGTAAGTTGTCTTACATTAACTGTTGTGAAGCACGTTAGATCATTATTTTTTTAAACTTATTGTGTATTGTCACATATGGGTAGCTTATTTTAGTCATTACTGGTAGTAAATAAAAAAAATATCCCCTGACGAAAGCACATTTGAGTGTGCAACATACCCGTTTTCAACTAGTTTTAACATAATTCCATTAGTCTCTTCCTCACTAACCTTGGATGTTTGTTCTGTTCATTCTGGAAACATTATTGGCAGGACGAGTGACGGGAAGACGTATGGTATTTAGGGTGTAAACTCAGGTTTTTCAGACGAGCCCGAAGCATACAGTAAATGTGTCACAGTGCAAGTCTACGCAGTGCGAGTGGGCAGGTTAAGGTCAAAATGCTTCCTTTCTTCCTAGCTCTCTCTCCTGGCTCACGGACCTGGAGATAGAGCATTAATGAAATAATATTGCTTTTGTTTTTTCAGATTCTGGAGCGGAAGTGAAGAATGATCTTGATTCCACTTCTTCCGTTACCACCTCCGCTGCTACAGCCGATACAAACTAACCCATCCTTCATTCTTCAACAAAGACTTCATTCCCAGGGAAAGATTCTCTCCGATGTTCCAGCACACTTTCCTTTAGACGTAGCGTACATTACTTTGGATTTTATTTTTTATTTTGTGTGTGTGGGGGGTTAACAATTCCTAATCCAATGACTGAGCTTTTTGCACAGGATGGTTGACTCCGTACTTCCACTTCCAAAATGGCCGAGGACTGACAGTACACAGGCCTCCGCAAACGACATTAGCTGTTTCACTTTTTCCCCAGCAGCATAGAAAACTCCTGGAACCTAATTCACTGTATATAAGTGTTCATGACAAAATTATTGATGATATAATATCCCTAGCTCACACAGAAAAGACAGCTTTTATGCATTGGAAAACCTATTTGTTACTTGAAAGGACCCAAATAAAGAAACGGGTCTTCTGAAGAGCATGTAATGTTAGCTGGGTGCTTCTACACAGAACTGTACGTCATATAGCTCAGTAATACCTTGAGTATTTTTTTATTTGTGCAGGAGCTACTGAGTTAGCTATACATAAACCAGTCCTTAGCATTAGATTGCCTGTATTATGCTGCATTATTCAGTGTGAAGTCAAAATCAAATGCAGTGTGAAAAAATTACCTTCGTTTTCATTTTGATATGAAAATGCACCAGCTTCATGCAATCCTTTAAGACAAACCGCAACACTTACAAATCTGCTTCCTGGAATTTAGAGAATTAATTTATAGGATCCTGTTTAACTTGCCATATGTGTTCTCATGTTTGTTTGTTTTTTTAATTAATTTTATCAGGGGATTTATTTTCACAAAAATCCGACAGAATGTAGAATGCGTATGCCCAAATTTTAGCTTAACGAGGCTTGTTTCTCAATAACATGTGTTAAAGAAGAAAACAATCAATGTAATTAGCTTAAGAGCAAAGCTACTCAAAATATTTAAAATCTTAACTCAATTCACGTTGTGATTGTTTTTATGATGTCAGATACTGTATGATACAGTTGTCGTAGTCATAGTCTGCTAAATTTAGAAAGGAACCTCAAAATATTTCAATCTTTAAAATGCATCCAACAAACAACATTTTTCACTATACATGCTGAAAATGCTACACGGCAGGAAGATGCTTTCTCAATCACAGTAATATCCATTCCAAACAGTTTTTTTTCTTTTCCTTAGAAAGAAAAAATTACATCTGTTGCCTTTATCTGTCTTTTGTTTCTGGGCTTCTTTAAAAATAAAGGTTGACTCTTATCACAATTCATAAATCCGCACTAGACATCAGTAATAAATGTAAAGTGTATGACTAATTGGAAAGTATTTAGACAGAAGTCTTTTGCCATTAAGATACCACATAACCCAGAATTTATTCTGGTGGTAGTGACGCTTACGGTGGTATTAATTTCTCTTGCAAGCCCTCAGCTTCTTTTGAGAGGGTTAAGCTCTGGTCGTGAACCTGGACTTTTCTGGCTACAGTGAGAGAAACGTGTGTTTTTACAGCATAAGTGCTTTTTAGCTGTGGCAGTTCTTAAACGTGCAACACAGTGCAGCTGTTTTCAGCAAGAAGTTCTCCATGGCTGTTTTCAAGGAAGAAAATAAATGGTTTGGGAGAGAACATGAGTGGATTGGACCAGTTGTACTGCTTTGTGTCTGTATCCAAATATGATTACTGTATGTCATTTGTCCTTTACTGTACTTTGTAGTTTTAATTGAGAAACAGGACTTTCAGAACTTTTTTCAGTTCACATTTTCCACTTTATTAACTGTATTTCACTTCATATGGTAAAATATTATGTTGGCTTCTGTCTTTAAATTTCATTTAAGACTTAGTATGGATAAATTGTGCTCTAATTTGCTTATCCTAATTCAAAAGACCATGGGTTGAGCTTTTTTAATTTTCTTTGGAATGTTTCACTAAACCATAAGAATTACATTTTGCTTCCAAGGAAGAAAAAAAGATTTAGGATGCTTTCTTATCTCCATTAAACAAACTCTGTTAGGCTTTGGGAATCATTACAAGCTTCTTACCTGTGAAGATTTCAGTTCATCTCACTTTAGGCTATAAGAGCAATTTAGAACAGCCTTGTTAATTAATTGTATGAATAAAACATGTTCTCTTCACACTTTCAAGAATAAAATGTCCAGGTAAAAAAATGCTTTGAAATACTCTATAAACAGAAATCCACCAGTTTAGATAACAGTGGGAATGCTCCAAAGATAAAATGTTTTTTTAAGAGCAAGACAATGAGAACAATGGATTTTTATGAATGTGTCATTTTCCATTTGTCTTGATGCTCATGCATCTCTTCCATTTTAGCCAGGCTAATTCAACTTGTCTGTGTGAGAGTCAGTCTCCTCTAAGTTAAATGTTTTTTGATACTTTTATTTATGTAGCGTGAAGTTATGTGTCTGTGATCGCATATGATATGCCCTAAAAATGTCTTCCACGGAAGAGCATTTAATTTTAATAGAGAACTTGATCGTCAGAAAATAGGCTGCTGTTGAACAATTTAGAAACAAAAACAAATTCCAAAAATACTAATTCTGTGAACTTGCTCTGGATGTCCACTTTTAGTAGTTTTGGAGACTGGTGTTTCAAAATGATGCAGGATTACTGTTATGAGAAAAATCATTTTTTCCAGTATGCCTCATCAAATTTTTTATGCTAGTGTACAGTACTCTTCATTCTTTTTTTCTGATCTGGCTGAGAAAATGCCTTTCCGTAAACTGTTCTAGAAGTCTTGCCTTTTTCTAAACTGTTAGAGATGTTTAAGAAGTAATGTGTTTCAGTTTGTCAAGCCTAATGGCTGGTGTTGCAAAATACAAAACTTGTATTTTTACTGCTCCTGACATTTGCCTTTCATTATATGTGAACAGCACTACGCTCTGCCTACAGCACATACAAATAGATAACACAGGAGTATATAATCTCCAATTTTAAAATAAACTGAATGAACATAGTAGTGACTGTGAGTCATCTTTTTAGACTGTTTTAATAGCATTGTGACTTCCCAGTTGTTGAAATGCCTGTACACATCTCCTTCTCTGTCATAGAAAAATGTCTGTCAGTATTTTCTTCATGTTCTTTGGGCACAACCTAAATATCTAGTTTGAGAGTTGTTGTTTTTAATTTTTCAGAAACATTCTGGTCCATTTGCCTTCCAACGGCAAACTTAGGGCTCTAAATAGGGTTCTAGTTCACAAATGTCTTTATTTTTTCAGAGGTCACCATTGGCAGACATTTAGACATACAGTATAGGCTCCATTTCCAGCAACAGCCTTAGGAAAAATAATTAGTCTTTAGGATTAAACACTGGACTGGAAACTGATTTTGTCTGAATGGCTGACTGCTCGTTGACAGAACCTGATGAATGAGTCACAGTTGCTCTTAATGAGTAATTAGTATTCGGATGGAGAGACATTCCACATAAGGAAAAGTAGTAGTGTGTGATTGGTCATGCCTCTGCGATAATTGCAGCTTAAAAGAGAAGTCAGGAGGACAAGGTGGTAGTCTGTGTCTACTGTAGTCTGGAAGAAGAGAGTGTATGAGCACTGAGCTATGGGGGAGGTCTCATAGATTTGAATTGAGCCGGTCTTTGTGTCTGTGAGAATCAGTGCATAAAGGATACTTCCAAAAACACAGTTTACTGTAGGTCTGTAATGAGGTCCCTCACCAGTGCTGGTAGACTGCAGATACCTGTAGGTAGTTTGCCGTGTGTAGCAGTGTAGTGACTGGGAATTACTGCACTGCTGAGGATCCCCTGTGGAGATGCGTGGTGTCTAGAGGACGGGTTGGATCTTGATTTCCTGTGTCCCCTGATGTTGAGACTTACTGGCTGTCTTGGATTGTGGTTAGCCAGCAAACTGGACGCTGTTGTGTCGGTGGTACAGCTTTCTATGATGGAATGCTGATGGCTGACCCTGGCCAAACAGGATCAGCTGGCAGTTAGTTATGGGGGGACAGGCTATTCCACTGTGCATATTAATGAGGAAATGGAAAACTGGTGAAAAGAACAAAGTTTAGTGCTGCATTATCTCATTGTGAAAGGTGAATAGTGATTCGTAAATTGAGGATTGCAGAAACTGGAGTTTGAGGGGAAAAAACTGAAGCATTCTGTAAGTGTTACAGTAGGTGAAACTAATGTGTTGTGTATGAAAATAGTGTGTATATGGCAAGGGATGTACAGTTAATATCCAATGCCCTGTTTTGGTGAGCCACTATAATACTGCTTTTAAAAAAAATGCTCTCCTGGTACTGTATTTCCTTCTTAATACATAAAGTAAGCTTTGCGTGATTGCTGTTTAGCTAGGACCTGCAACATCATCTCAAAGAATACTCTGCAACCCCTAGAGGAAGATAAAAGTAAAACTCTAGGAAATAAAGACTTCAACATCTAAAAGGAATGTATTATAAAGAATTAATTAAATGTGAGTTATTGTAAACAAAAAAAACTTGCTATAATGACACATCCATTCATTACTACTATTAGAGGTGCCCCATGTCTCTAGACTAAATTTGTGTATTGCTGTTTGATCATGATTATACCATGGTTTAAAACATATAGCTTTAATATACATTGAATATGTGTCCTTTACTGGGCATTCATTTTGAAACTTTAATCTTAAATTGCATATTCAGCATTAATTACTGTTTTTCTATTGTCCTTCAAACAGCTTTTGTCCAGTTAGTGTTGCCTGGCCTTCAAAACGTTTATTTAACTTTTCAAATGTGAAACTGAGTTTATATTATGTTTAATCTGGATTTAGGAAATGTTTGTGTTGTTTTTTTTAATTCCGTGAGATAATAAAAAAAAGTTACCAAACTCCATAACTGGAGAAATGTAACAGAGAGAAAACAATATGTACGTCAAATACTGCACTGTAATATGAACATCTTGATATCTTAGACAAACTCCAAACTTCATTTCTTTGATGTTGTTAAAGTGTTAAACAGATAGATACTTAAAAGTTTAAAAAGTAGCACGAGAAAAGGAGCCAGAAAAAAAATAAATTGATTTTGATAATTTGGTATTGGGTACCATGGAATTATGAATCAATTTCTTAGAATGTTTGCATTTCATGTTCTCCTGGGAAGAGACTTTCAAAGAATTACAGGTCCCAATAAAACACTAACAAGAATAGATGGATTTTGACTTAAGATTTTAATGAGCTTCTTATAAGTTTGCAAATATTCCCTTAGTCAATGAATGGTGTGTATTTATAACTTAATGAAAGCAGACTATTGTACTTATCCATAATTTTTCAGCTGTTTGTGTATTATGGACATTCACAAGGATGGTGTGATTCCACTAATTCTCACTAATAAAAAAAAATGATTGACATAAACAAGAAGGTCAACAAAAACTGAAAGGGCTATATAAAGTTAATACCTGACAAAATTATATATAATCATGAATTTGCTGTGCGTCCATCTACTGTATATCATAATTTAAGGGGTTAATGTTTTCACAGGCCTTAAATGCATGTCAGGTGTTACTGTTTCTATACTAAGGATATTAATACCAAATCAAAGAGAATGACTATAACAGCTCTTTCCATGCAAATGGTTAATGAAATCACTGTGCAGAAAGCATTGCCTTGACCACACACTGATTGACGTTTTTTTTTAACCTGGACTTTTAATTAAACCTGTTTTTAAATCCTGATAAAAAAACACTCATCATTTTGGCTCTGCAATTAAAAAATGCCATGTCAACTGTGAGCAATGTACACATTATTAAAAATTCAGACTTAAAGCCTTGGTTGATATGTAATTATATTTGTTGAGCTTTTCTTGGGATACAGTGCTTCTGTGGAAATAGGTGGGTATTCGTGGTCATAAGAGTAAAATATTGACGTATATATGTTACTCAGTATATAATCAGTATAAATCATTTTTTTTAATGTCAGCAGCTTTCAAAAACAGTTCTACTGACAACCTTATATATTCTTCCCGCAGTCTCAATCGTTTAATGTGTTAAAATTTTGTGACCATTGTCTTTGAGATAAGATACAGCTACCTTTTGTTTTTTTTTTCTGATTTTTGGAATACTGCTAAAAAAATTGTTTTTTCGTAGCAGGCTTGTAGACTGTTTCTTGCAGATAGCACATTGATTTGATTTAATCTGGACCTTAGTTTTCCTTTTTTTTTGTTTTGCGAGACATCAAAAATTCTTTGCTTTGAAAACGACGACATACAAATAAACCTAAAGGAAAAAAAACCCTTGTAAATTGTATTTATGGCATAATTTTAATCCGAGTCTGAATAGCCTGGGTTACATTTGATTTAAGTCTTCTGCAAACACACGTGTGCCTGAATTGCATTTAAATAAAATGCAGATAATTTTCAAACATGCTTTGTTGCATTTCAGTCCCTTAAGCTTCCCACTGTTTTTCAAAATGTCCTTGAAAACACTTATATATTTTAATAGAACAAATATATACTGGGATGCTTTAGAGGCACAGCATGTGTAATTGTCCCTGATTGTAAATGATGTAATACAACCCATTAACCTTTTGGAGTAATGGTATAGGTGTTTGTGATGTACAAAATGTTAAAGCTCAGGTCCTTTAATTGCACTACTCTACCAATTCCCTGCCTGAGGAATAGCAGACAGTTTGACATCATATGTGGCAAAAAAATGTTCCCTTGTGAGATAGTAAAGATGATGTCTGACAGATGTTTTTCCAGGCTTAAATTCTAAATCTTTTCGGCATTTCCATTTTGTAGTTTCTGCAGCGTTTCCTAATCTTCCTGTTTTGGTATCATCTGCAAATGTTCTAATGTTCTAACAATACCAGAATCTAGATTATTGATGTAAAAAAAAAAGAAGAAAAAGGATCCTAATGCAACCCAGTGGTACTCTACTGATGACATCGCCCACATCTGAACATTCATCATACTGTATATCTGCACTCTGTTTTTTATCCACTAACCATTTCTTAATTGAAACACATGCATTTCCTTGAATGCCTGCCACCTACAGTGCAAGACATGACATGCAAATGTGTTTGTTCAGTCAATAGCTGGATTTTAACCCTGTCAAAGCTTTTTCTGAGCCAGCTAGGCAGATATGTACATGAACGTTAACCACTGTCAAAATAATATTAGTGATCCTAAGGTTTCTATCCAATTTGTTGGCTGAAACATCACAGAGATGAGTGTATGGCACCATTATCATGTTTGTGTTTGAGACAAGGTGGACACTCCAGGTATAGTCAAAGGGGTCTGTTATAAATGTACTTTGTGATCTCTATACCTCGTGTGACTTAAAAATTAACATCTAAAATATACCTTTCCTGTATATTTTTGTATTTTTCTGATATAAACATGAATTTGCCTGTTTTAAGTATTTTCTTTTTTATCAGTCATATCAAAGCGTAACAAAAAAAAAAGTCTGAAAAACCTGTTCTGTAATATCAAAGTTAGTCAACATGTAGTCAACATACAGTAAGACTACAAAATACCTTCTCTCTGTGTTATCAGTGGTTTACAAAAGTAATGCAAAATTATTTTCTGGAGCAATTGCAAACATGAAATTTTGGAAAGAAACAGAAACTTCTCTGTAAGCAAGATGCTATGAATCTCTTTTGTTGTGCTGTTGTGTTGTCCCTTTTGTTCTGTTCTACTACACAGTTGATTTTTGTTTGAATCCTTGTGTATGTGTTACAGTTATGAAAATCCTGATGGCACTGTGTCTCTGCCTTATTTGAACGAACAACTGTTAGTCACGTTGCACCAAACTATTTCTAGCTACTTAGTGATCTTCCATAGCACCATACTCCCTTGTCCACAGAGTAACTACTATACTTTAATAATGATAGTCTTACTACTGTCTAATTGGAACACAATTAATAAAGTGCCATGTTCACCAACACTCTTGTGTATACTATAAAATAGCCATATACAGTCAGACTAGAAGGGAAGGCATTGTTAATTTAGAACCCACCCCATGGATGTCACATTGTTTAATGAGTGCAGCAACCTGACCAATGAAGACCTGCTACTGTAGGTCAGAGTGAGTCAAAGAGAAATGAAGGAATGAATGGAAACAAAGAAAATAGAAGCTCTGTATCACATAAAACAAGCTGTCTAGTTCCTATTTTCTAGCATACATGAATATGTAGTAATTGCATTTTTAACCCAGTTAGAAATATTTTTATACCATGGGAAGATCCAGTTTTATGTTGTGCCTATCCTATATTTATTGATAGTATTTAGCAAAATTTAATGTTGTTACCAAATGTTAAATGCACAGATGTAAGTTAGTCTGTAATATAATGTAAAGGAGATGCACAGCCTCTGAAACCATTAGTATTCTAAAGCTCAAGATAGATTTTACCACATCTGCGACTTGTACTTTACTACATCATTCTACGCATCATGTGTGCAGACACCCATATATGCACGTGTATACTGTATATATCAATGTATATAGTGATGCACAAATAAATGCAACACTCAGGTCTGATGGATTTAATTTTAAGATGAGATATCTGACAAAATTATGGCAAATTTGAAATAAACTACAGCTCAAAGTTCTTGTTTTCAGATGAAACTGTGTCAAAATGAAGATATTTAAAAGTTAATCTCAATTGCGACCTCCCATAAAAAACACTATATACTGATAATGCTGATGCATTGATCTGATCAGACTCTGGACAGAATACTTTATGATGTTCTGCCTCTTCCAGTGCATCTGACGCTAGCTAGCTAATTATGGCCAAGTATGGCTAATGGATTTGATTAATTGGTCGCCAGGTCAGGAGAAAAACCTGAGGAATAGTGATTCCCAGCACCATATGGTCTTGGATTATCCAACTGGAAATTTTAGAACCAAGTTGGTTTGCAAATTGGAAACACGGTTGGTTCAGTGACTTCAGCACCAACTGCTTTCCTGTTTCAGATGATTTCTCCCCACATCATCACTCTTCCTCCACCTCGTAGGTTGGTTTGAACAGTGCAACATTAACCATAATGCTCACCATAATATCTCAACACAAGTTGTCTTCCTGCCTTCTTCTTGACGGGCTTGTCAAATGCAAAACATTGGCAAATAGCACCTTCCATTTCCCAGTCTCCAGGTGTTCTCTAATCCATAGAATGTCCATCGCCCAATGTTACTCCTGCATAACCTTTGAACATGTATTTTTCATGGAGATGACAAGCTGCTCTTATTCCATTGCTACGCAGGTTATTTCTTCTTGGAATTTCTTGTGCGTTAGCCACTGCATCTAAAAACACTTAAGCAGATGAATCTGGGATGGACAAGCCAGCTTCCTGATTGTGGTCACATTGTGGTCACTGTTAGTGTGTTAATTAAAGTGATGGATATTTACTGTACATCAGCTCATTTTACAGTTTTTTGTGATCAAATTTACATTGTGCCCGTTTTAACTGAACTGCTTTATTTTTATGAAGTCACATGGCTCGAACTCAATGTTCCATTATCCTGAGGAGCCGTACTGTACTACTAAAAGGATCACAAACTCTTTTGCTTCCTATTTGAAATTTCAATAAGATTTACTTTGCCCAACAACCTAGATTTTGTGTTTTTGTTGTGCATCAGTATATACACACACCAAAAAATTATAGTTCTGTTTCCGTTTAGCATTTCCTATAATATGTTGCTGATTCTTTAACTTTTTCCTTAAATTAATGAAAACATTAAGAAAATGAGACATGTATTTCATTACATTGGTTCAATATTCATTGTTTGAAGCCATATATTTTATGCATTTCTGTCACTTAGTGGCAAGTTGGCATTGTTCTATTTTTATTTTTATCTTTATTCTGAATATTTTATGTAATGTATGATTTGCTATGCCATTTTTTCATAGAATTTAAACAAAAACTAAACTGTGTTGGCCAATGTGGTCCTATTTGTTACAATGCTACGTTATTGTACTGTTGTGACAATAAATCTGGAATTCTACAAATCAAAGAGTTTTTTTTATTTGCTATTTTAAATATTATAAAGGGCAACTGCTGGACATTTCAGAATGCATATTTATAAAGAGTTTGTTTTGTGTGCTCCAGAGAGGTTTCCTTGCAATGTAATTAACATTATGGGAATATTGTTTGCATATACAGTACAGTATACTACAGTATGTGTATATACAGGAAAAGTATATATTTATAACAGTCCTCTTTGGGATGTTCTGGATTCACTGATGAATACATGCGCCAGAGGACACAGTTTTTTTCTTTCTACCCATCCTTGTAACCTTTATTAACTTGCCTCGGCTTTTCTCATGGTTTTTCTCTGCTTTGTTTCTTCCTGTTACACACCCATTTTACATCAGCCAAAATCTACTTGTAGTTCCTCATTTTAATGTAATTAAACATGCAACACCGCTCACAAAATGGTCAACTCTTTACATAGAGTCAACTGTGTCTGAGAGTCTGTCCTCATAGCCTAGAGAAAGATCCATTTTCACTGCAGGCTTCATAGGCCGTCTACTACAATGTTACACAGATGTTTTTTTACATCAAATATAAAATTCAATAAAAGAACAAAGCCATGTCCCAAATCACCCTTGTGCCCCTAGATTTCCTGTCAAGGACCCAGAAAATAAAATAAAACCACTGATACAACTATTGGTCCTGTAGAGGAACTTCAGTCCTTTACTGCACATACTCCCCACTTCTGCATCATGACTCGATGCAGGAGAAGGTTTCTGACCAATGGTGTCAAAGTACATTGACATTTATTCATTTGGGCTGCACTTTAATCCAAAGGGACTTCCAATCACATCAGGTCAAGATGCAAAGCGTACAGGTGGCAGTGGCATAAAGCAACAATAAAACCACAGTGGATAGCGCTGCATCAAGTGCCAGGATGATGGACAGTGCTGAATAATTTCAGTGGTGCTTGACAGATAGGAAGTAGTGACGTAAGAGCACAGACAGTAAGTGAGGGTTAATTGCAAGCCTCTGGGGTTAGGAATATCCAGAAGAGATGAGTTTTGAGTTTCTTCCAGAAGACGGTGAGTGAGTCCAGTCCTTTAGGAACCCTGTAGGCAGGCTCCAAGGGTTCGAACATACACTAGGATCCACTGATGCCAGAGGAGGCAATGTGAAGATTCCCAATGAATTTCCAGCATCTTGTTATTATTCATTCAGACCAACCAGATATGTCACCAAAGTGTCATCTCCTCTGGATACTTCCAAAACATACGTCAGAAGGTGCCAACAACACCTCCAGATAAAGCTTATCTAGCGGCATCTGACCAGGTGACTGAGGTCAGAAGCCTATTTCCCACAACATTGTGTGGGAATGCGAATCAGACAAGAATCTCCATGTTGTCGGAACTCACTGCCATCTCCCAATCCTCTCACCGGCAGGAACCATGTCGTTGAATTCCACGTTGTGTCCTCGACCCCCCCGGAGCCCCAGAACAACAGCAACCGCCCCCGCCCCCCCCTCCCTCCCTGCTCTTTCCCTCCTTTCTACAATCTGTACTCTCCCTCTCTTCCCCTGGTTCTGGTCAGGATTCCAGCCTACTGCACTTGTGGTCCCAGTCTGTCTTCATTGTTTTGTCTCTCCCAGTGCTCCTTTCCACTGTCTCCATAGGGGCCCCCTCACCCAGTCCCTGTGGGTACAGGCGCTCAGTGTTAGTCTGTTCCGGCCCTGGGACCCTTGTTTACAGCTTTCACTGCAACAGGACCCTGGCAGCAACAGCAATGATTTCCCAGCTGCCCCCACGTTTAGCACCCCTGTGGCCTCAGTAGAGGCCCCTTTCAAGAGTACGGCACTTCTGTTTGCTTCTGGGGTCCATCTTTTTAACCATACTATGTGGGGGTCCTAACAGAATCCCCATTCGGCCAGTTGTAGCAAATCTGCTTCAAACTCAATGAGTGAGGAAGAGGGGTCAACAGCTGGGCCAGGACCGTCAGAGGTTTATTTTCTCTTGGTGAGAGCCTGTCCCTTTCACACTTCGTGAAATTAATTTTGCAGTTTTAATCTGCCCAATCGTACAAATATGAATTCTGTAATCCCACGGGCCTTTTTGTCCACCACAGCTATGATAGTATCCATTTTCTAGCTGGGTTAGGTGGAGCAATGTGGCGTAAAGTACCTTACTCAATGGTATTACAGCCATGACCACAGAGGGCACTCAATCCCACAACCCCATAGCTGGGAGTCCTCTGACTAAATTCATAATGCCAAAAATCATAAGAATAAAAAAAAAAGAAATTTGAGGAGGAAAAATACACTGACTCCTGACATAAAATATCTGTATCTAAGGTTTCATTATTCCCCACAAGAAAAGCACGCTAACATGCTTTTATTTTCGTTCTTTGTCCCTTCAGTGAAGAAAGCGGGATATGATTTGATACGGTACTTCAAGAGGCCCAGCTACTGTGCAAACCTGTACCTGCCTTCACTGCAGAAGAAAAGGGGGGAGAGTCTGAGAGGAAGCAGGATGCTGGACCAGAGAAGTAAAGCAAAAAAGCTACAGCACATCTCCCTCAGAGGAAGCAAATGAGACTGAAATGGGAAATAGGCAGCAGAATATGTGCCTCATATTATCTATAGCTGTGTGCTTAGGAGGGCATGTGTCTCCATGGCTTTTATTTTTCAGTAGTTGTCAGTAGTTGTCCATTCCTCTTCTTTTCCGACCCTACTGTGGAAATATTCAAAGCACTGCAAAATGTTTGGCTTCTTCTATTGTTGCTGACTAGCTCAAAATCTATTATTGCACAAATGAGTGGAAAATGTAATGTGTTTTGGCCTTTCTATCTTAATTCCTTACGTTAATATGCTGGCCTATTGACACTTGGGAATATCATTTATAAGTTCAGGAATACAAATTTATTTGTTTAAAGCATGACTGAAATTTTCTTCAGGTTTCAGAATCATATTTTAATTTTTACATCCATAACATACCCAGATACTTGTTTTTTAGGTTTTCATTTTTCCAGATTCCATAAACAAGATTAAGGAAGCAAAATGACACACGCTGGCTATCACAAATATGAGGAAACATGGAAGTCTTTCTATGAACACACATCAAATTTAAACCTCATATGTAATGCGTTTGTTTCGTCTACAAGATGTTTATCTCTACCCATCAAAATATAGTACTCATCAGTTGCTCTTTATGGGTTAAATTCTTGTATAAAACGGGATACAAAAATCATAAAATACTGCTTTGCTTTAGAGAATTAAAGTTATTAATCATCTTAAAAAGCAATAGGAGAGTGTGGCTGGTGTGATACTTGAGCCTAGTCCTGTGACATGATCCCTAGGAAATCTGATAGCATAAAATTGTCAGGGGTGGGGGTCTGCCTTTTAGTGCCTGAGGACATGCTGCATGGAGAAGGCTTGGGACTGAGGAATCCCTGAGAGACAGCGAGCGAAAGCTGGTAGGGCACACACGTTTAGCCCCATACTCGTCCATCTTTAGCCATCAAAGCTCTTTCTACTGTAAAGACTTTATACTGCAACCCTAGTCAAGGAGCATCCCTGTGTCTTCTGATTTCCATTCCCACTTAGTTTTTAACTACTTAGGTATATTTATCCTTTTCTGAATTGTAACTCTACATTTGTAACATTTCTATAATTAATGAGGAAGTAATTGATGCACAGAATATTTTTAAATACAGAACATGACATTTTTATTGATAATTAATGCCATTCTGTTTACGTTACACCACAGCTCTCCTGTTTGATTGAGTTCCAGTGCCGTCCTGCCGTTTAATTCTTTTTAACGTTGTCAGTGTTGTTTGCGGCACCGTTTTGACATTCCTGTCACTCAGGACTTTCCGAAGCTTCCTAATTCATGCAAGCTTTTTTTTTTTTCTTTTCTGCAACAAAATGAATCTGCAGCACTTTTTACGTACAGGGGCGCTTTAAGAGTCAGCTGTAGTTACAGCTAGAAGCAGTGGTGGGATTGTCTGTACATTTAATTGAAGTTGTTTTGTACAGTAATGAGAAATTTAAGTAAATGGGTAACAAATGTGAGAGGGAGTTGCACAAAATACACTCCAAAATATTTTGAGTAAGTTAGGTATGATAGAAATAAGATTTGTCATTTAAAGAGCTACTTTTATCAGAAACTGCCAGGTATCCTTTGTCAAAGCTCATCTAATTCTTTCCTTCTGTTTCTTCTTCTTCCATATAAATGACGCGTTTCTCTTCTTTCATCAGTTTCACACCTAGAAAAATAAAACAAATATATAATTTATAATAACTCTGGATCGGGAAATGAATTTTAAACAGAAAAACACTTTAGGAGTTTTCACACTTTTTCTGACATCTTTCACTCTCTGAATTAATTCTTTGAATCACACCACAAATATACCACTATACTGTATCTTAATCAATCCCTGGGCAATTCACCAGTAATTCCCTTGTGCTACCTTAAACAATGTCCTAAACCTAATTTCATGAGAAACAATGACATTCAAAAATCAGATGCTTCGTGAATATTCAAATATTTTAGGTATGAGAATTTTGACTTAACTAGCTTTGTTAAGGCCATACGATATGAAGGCCTGGCCATACAACAAGAAGCCTCGAACCCAATTCAGTGTGGGGAGTGACCAAGAGGCAGCAGTGAATGTGGAAATGGGGTGGACGAGGGACGCATGTGTGCATTACATATGCTGTGCATACTGTCGCTAATTTCGGTAATGATTATGATTTGGAACAGATGGGTGAGACCAACTTTTTGTTGTTATCCCACCCAAACGTCTGTTGACTTTCATTTCATTCCTTTTTCTGCTGACATTATTCCACATGCAGTCCAAGAATGCGCATCCAGTGAAAACTACACCAAACAGAACACAAAAACCTTTCCTAAACGTCTGCATTCCATCAGCATAGTAAAATAAGCCTTATCCTAAGGATTACCACATCACAAGGTGCATCTGAAGATAAGCTTAACAAGGACATCTGACTAAAAAATGAGCAGGGATTGAAAAGGGATGGGATTGTACAGGAGACATACATTTGGGTGTAATTGTTTTGAAGAATACAATTATGTAAATCCAGAAAAAAACAGACAAGATAGAAATGCATATCATTTATGTGCCTCAAAATATTATTATACCAAAATACATCTGTTTTTAACATGTAAAAATGTCTTCCTATTTTATGAAAAACAAAAATCACAGACATTTGTTGCAGCTAAATATTTACCCAGAAGGCCATTAGTGAAAATAATTTCATCTCGGAAAAGTCTTGTTTTACGGCACTTTGAAATGTCTGAATTTTGTAAATGTTGTGAAGTAATAGAGTTATCCAAAACAGCGGGTTAGGTTACGGACAGAATCATAGAATTTAACGTGAGTTATGCTAAAAACAATTCACTAGCATACTGCAAGATGGAAATTTACTAATAGAATCTCACTTAGACTATTGTAAACAACCTAGTTTATTTAATGTTAAAATGCTATTAGTGGATATATATACACTATGCTGCTCTGGAATCAATCCAAAGAAGAATGACAAAGTACATTCTCTGTCTCAAAAGAATGTCCTGTACCTAGAGGCTTAAAGAAAATTTTAAAGTCTTGTACAGAGACGTCTTTTGGCTGACAGACTTGAAACCCGTGATGAAAATTATTTCAGTTGGGCTCATTTTTGTTTTACGAACTTTTATCTTCCACTGAGGTTGTAATTTCAACAACAGAACGCCGATACACCTACTGTATAAGAATGTAAAGTTTACTGGCTTAGGGTTTTATTGCTGTTAGTTGATCAGCTGTAGAAAATTGAGGAACAAATTAATTTATCTTATGCACCATTGGAAATTCATGACCACAGGGATGGAAATTCTTGGTAAGCACTGCCCAGTCCATACTGATGAGCAGCAGATGAGAGTTTTACCTGGGATTAAGGGTGGGATGTAAAGAACAGGTGTGTCTTTCCTCCGCGGTTTTTTGTGCTCCTGTTCATGCTGCTGGGTGTCCAGGTGCTTTTCACTCTGTGTTTTTCCTACATCCATCTCACAGTCATCTATCAGCTCTTCCGAAAGGTCTGACAGGGGATCTGTAAGAAAGGGTTTGTTAAACCTCAGCACTGTTCTGTTTAAAATAGAAAGTTGTGTACTGTACTCCAAAGATGTGAAGATTGTTTTTTCTTAAATAAATTTGATAAATATGGTTTTATTAAATTTTAAATTTTGGACATATATGCAATATATATTTAAAACATAGAAATATATCACTGGTAACAGGTTTAAAGAAATTTTAAATACAATATATTGTATACTGTAACTGTCACGATAATAGACTTGTGTGTGTGTGTAAAATGCTTTTTTCAACACAGCCAAGATGGATTTATTAAAAATGTATGATGTAAGAATAATAATTAATAAGGTGTGGTTGTGGTTGTTAACACAAGCTTTGAAGAGTCTTTGAAGTATCAGAAAATAATTGTGTGAATTCTATGCAGAGGGAAGTGTACTCAGCAATTCAAAGACGTGCAACTTCAGTTTATGTCTTAAATTACCATGACAATGGATGAGAATAATGGCATAAGAAGGGAGTTATTAATTTCCAGAAAACGTTGTTTATGAGAAATAAAGATTCCTAATCTTAATTCAGAGATGAAAATACACAGGAGCAACAAGTTACCAAACTATTTACTGTTCAGAAGCCTACGAGTGTTAATGACATAGTCTAACAATGTCCTCAGTCAGGCGTCTATGAGATAGACAAAACAAGATGTGGTGAATTGCTCTGTTCATTTGTAATCTTCTTAGAGTTTTAGCAGTAATAGTAATACATACACACGTTTTTGACTTCTCATTAATCCTGTATGTATTAATTCTGTGCGCTCCTTTTAACTAGCAGCAGTATTTTTGCAACCTGCTCATTCACTAGACACTAAATTAGCACACCTTAATGAAAATTAAATGCTTAAATATGATTATATGATTATTAAATGATTATATATGATTAAATCCAATCAAATTCAATAGTTAAAACCAGAACCTTCTCCATAAATACGTATAAAGAAAAGGAATAAACATTAAATACAAGAAGGAAAGCACTGGGATTAACATGGATGTTAATTCGGGGCCAGGTTTAGGATTCACTGAGGCATGCAACAGTAACCAATGTAGAAAATATGCCCAAATTATAGTCAGCCTGCAAAAGAAGAATGCATGATGCACCGATTGAATTGAGTAGGTTATATGTTCTGTGGGAGATGGTAGAACACAAAGGCATTGATTGTTTCAAGAAAGAATGACAGTAAAAGTGCTGCAGCTCCACACGGCAGGATTAGTAAGTGCATTTCTACTTTGTAACACCCTAAGAGGACAGACGTGTACGAGAACATACCGAGTGCTACAGTGAATGAAAGCCTCTTCAAGCACTTGAAGTCTCCAGCCCTTAAGAAATCCACTTGAGTCATACTGTACATTTTCAGGTAAAGATGACACACAGCACGCTAGCTTTTTCCATTTTAGCGTTTTATAAACTTTGATCTCCGTTTAGTAGCCACAGGATAGGTATGTCATTGAGCCTGTCTGTTCAGTTTGAAGACACTCAATTTGCGAGTATGACTGGAAGTTCCTTTTTTTGATTCAAAATGTATTGGAAGCTTTTAATGAATGTCAATCACAAATTCTGAAAATTTTTACCAGATCAAAGCTTCTGAATTCCCCCTCAGCCACATTGCCTGGTCTTGCACAATGTATAGCATCTTCCCCTTGTACAAACGTTCTGGCAAGTGTTCAGGTCATACCTGTAGTTAGGTATGATAATGGTTAGGTACTGTAGCGTTCAGCTTAATGAACAGCTGATGCTTAAGGTTGCACGTGCTGAAAGAAGACCCTCCGTGATGTTTCAGGGCAGCAATATGTTTACCATACAATGGTGGCAAAAGGAAAAAATATTGGTGCTCTGGAATCAGTTCAACGAAGAGCAACCAGATACATTCAGGGAGTCTAATAATGTGTGTCATCAGCACATTTATGATTTCCTCCAGGGCACCAAGTTATCAAATAACCAAATTGTACAGGTAGGTCCCTCACATCTTTAGGTTTGCTGGCCAAGGAGATTAAAAACCTGGCAATGTGCAGACGGCACTGTGAACAAAATGAACTGATCTGAAGCTTAGGTAGTGCTATGCTTCCAGTGCGTTCAGTACTCACAGAACTGATCCTGGCCATTCAGTCTGTTATCTGTAGCCTTGGGTGTGGGTCTCACATACTCAGTGGACATCTTCCGAGACGGTCTGTTCACCAGCAAAGAACGGGAGATGTTTTAAATCCTGAAGCAGTTCACCTGTACTCACAACAGGGTAACATTCATTCCATGTGCTAAAGGCTATACATTTACAGTATATCTCAGTTTTCTTAGATGAAGCATATTTTTTCAGAACAAAAACCTGAGAAAAGCAGGACAATTTAAAAAAAATAAACATGATAAACAATGGTGTAATACAAATATTTATTTAATTTAACATTTACTTTACCATTGTGATGTTATTTTTATTTAAATATAAAATAACAAAATTAAGTTTTCTTTGATTTATTATACAAAAAACTCACACATGTTTTTCATAATCCAAACAAAATCTAATACTAAAAAATATTTCTATACATTTTAAATTGTTATAAAGATTCACAAATGACTTACAATTCCGCATAATCTAATCAGATCTATTTTTTGCATTGTGGAGTTGTGAACTTCTTACAATTTCAGTCATTATTTAATACAGCCTCCATTAACAGTATCTGTGAAATAATTCATTTAGAAGACAAACCGACTACAACACATACACATTCACATACAACATATACAAATATTTTAAGCTAGCTGGATAGGTAAGATAACCATCAAATCTACCATAAGCACAAGAAAGCATTGCAAAACTTTAGAAAGTTATTTGGTTATAGCCTACCTGCAGGGAGAGAAGATCTATCTAGAGTGTTAAGACAGCTCTCACAAGAAAGAGCCGGTTTTGTGTTCTGGAGGAGGGCAGCCTTTATTACATCATCATTAGCAGTTATCGTCATGACAACCCTTTTACCCATCAACCTTATTCCATTGTCAGACAGATGGTGTCCTACAACTGTGTATGTAACCATATTATCATCTTTTAACATACAAAGTTTATTTAAATCATTTGATATGACCTTCTTTAAAACGTTTTATCTAATTAGGTTTCAAAAATTAGGTTTGTGTGGTGCTCATAATGTATGCATTTCATGTTGGTTTTTGTTCTACGAATTACTTAATTTGATAAGATAAGACACAATCATTTAACAAACACAATGCTGTGCTGTCTTGAAAAAATGACAATTTTTTACGCTGATATTTAAATATGCACAGAATTCCATCTGGGTTTATAGACAGGTTATGATTGATCTAAATTCTGCTTTTATTCAGTTTTTAACTGTGAGCATGAATTAAATAAAGTCAAAGTCTAATGCTATCTCTTATTTCTGCAATGCATACTGTAATCATTTCATATTGGCTTAATCATTTCTGTTTTCTTAGTTTGGTAAAGTAACTGTCAGGAGTTTTTTCACCGGAAATGTTGAGGAATTGCAAAGCAATTAATGTATTTTGCAATTGTAGCTTATTTACATGTACTGTAGTCAATTGGGCTCTATTTGTATCTATTGGAGTCTGATTTTAATAGCATTTTTCCTGTGCCATTCACACTACACATCAATTGAGTCTGCAAAATCATTAAGTGAGACAGAGTACTGTAACAGATGCAGGAATCCTTCTGACAGATGGTCCTGTGTAAACCTACACCATATTCATGCACGTTTGTGAGGCTCTGGTGACAGGCCCTTGACTCTGCTGTAATGTTGTATAGTGAAAACTGAGCATGCCATGCAGAATATTAAGATAACACGTTTGAAGGCAATAAAATAAAAAACAGGATATGCTAGATTCCTGATATGGTCTGTTGTTTTACAAAATGTCTTAATTACTGTGGATTACTGTGGAAAATGCAGGCTATTAATTCAGATTTAAAGTAATAACCTTGTTTGTCTAAATCTTTTTTTTTTCCTATTTTAGGAGTAAAGTATTATAATCCATACAGTATGTACATACTGCTCAGTACCATAGTATTGTGGAATTATGCATCATTTTGAAGACACCTGGAAAGGGATTGTAAGACATCTTTCTATAGGGAAATCTATTACATTGTATAATGTCTTTATGTCATACATTGGGATAATTCTGGAATGCCAGGGTTTATCGGCGGTGAATAATGTGGCAGCACTTTGGAGTAAGGGACGCTGCAAAACTGTATTTCTAATGCCGTGCACTACCTGAAGCGATCAAGCTTATTCAGAACGAGAACAACACAAAGCAGTCACCCCATCGAAAGGAAATCCATGGAAATCTGTGTCACTCATAACTGAGCATTAACCTGGTCGCCATTGTGCTCTATGGACCTTTCAGAACACGGATGGACAGATGTTAACACAGTTGGAGACTATACAGTATATCAAGCATTCTCAGGATACCCTTTATCCCAACATACATGCTGAAGATATGGCAGAAGACCACTGTAAATTGACACTGATCATTTGGTGCCCTGGGGGAATGGCATTCTGAGGTTCCCAAAGCATATTCCCCCTTTACGTCAAGACAACTAGACAGCCGAGCAAGGATACACCTTTCTGAAGTAACAGACCAGCCATCCTGTGACAGGGACTCCGCGATCTCTTTAGAGAATGTCGGTTGGAAAGAACGGGTTCAGCGTAACATTGAAAATGCTACCTAACCTCCTGTTTCAGCATTCGCAAGTACAGTATCATATTAATGCAGGAGGAGATAGCTGAAGCAATGTCATTGATCATGACGAGACATATCAGAAGCCAGTCCATGGCAGGGCACTCACAGACACAAACGCACACGCACTTTCAGTTTCATCATCATCATCATCATCATCATCATCACCACCACCCTTATTATATAACTTTTCTTTTCGTTTAACACATAAAATAAGAATAGCTTGTCGATGAAAAAAACACAACTCATCTTAACTCTGTTCCACAATAGTAAGAAGAGATTACTCTGAGGGTTTTGCACCTACCTGAGCCCAAGGCAAAATTCAAAAAATCTAATTTTCATATTACAGATCCCTGCCCATTCCCGACTTTTACTCCTCATTTGCACACATTTGAATGGAGTTTTTGCATGGCCGCGCCTCGACAGAGTGCTAATCTGTTAGCAGGCACAGAAAGCCGGGCGGGCACGATCCCCGCCGCAAGGCTCGGGCCCCCCTGTTCTTGCACGTTCTCGGACTGTTTCAGCCGCATCACAGCCATGACCGAGGCGTCACCCCCCTTTAAAACAGGGTTCTTATTGAGAGCGACCTTTTGCGAAGGGACCCGTAGAAGAGAAAAGCCCGAGAAGCTCTGATTCAGATCATCGCACATTACGTGTGATATTGCGTCTTGACACTTTTTGCTTTGCTTTCTAGGTGCATCTCCCCTGCAAGGGAATCATCCCCGCTGAGAGGGGGACTTGTGTGCTGATGTTTCCCCCACTGGTGTAAGCCTGTTTTTTGTGATACAGTAAGTTAAGGTTACCTGCCTCAGCCACCAGTTTGCGTGACTGATTCTGATGTTGGAGATTTGAAGGTTATGCCCTATGAATCTCTGGTAGTAATTTATCTAATGCTTTACCATTATCTGTGTCGTAACTGGAAGAAACGTGACGGGATTCCTTGCAAAAGGAATTGGAAGTAATTGCATATACAGTAGATCCAGCCAATACATCTACTGTATTTGCACTTCTACATAAAATGAAACACTAAAGAGAAACCATATAGAGAGATAACCTTTCAAAGCAGATTTGTGCTTGGTATCTCTTTACGATTTTATATTCATGCTAAAAGTTACTTATGAATGAGACAGACGACCCTTTTTTTTTACTTTAAGATGAACTCTTTCTTTAAAAAAAACGCTTTGAAAAGTTTGAGCTTTTTATGATTGAACGCTTCTCAAAAGGAAATGATATGGGTAAGTTGTTAAAAGCCTGTCAAACAATAATATTTAACATAATTCAAATCATTGCATGATTTCTTTTCAAATTATAAAACATTATAGGAAAACATTGTCTGCATTGTTCTAGGAGGACAGTACCCTTGTTGGGTTTCCATGGTAATATCTAGAGTTTTTTCCCTGCTTTTATACTAATGTAAATGCTAGACCCTTTTTTAGTAGTATATTTAGTGATATATTGTCTACACAACTCTTCATTACTCAGTTCAAGTGAAGATACTTCAATACTGAGCTGCCTAGCAGACATGTAGCAGTGTGCATTTGTAAAGATTATTGCTCATTCTCCTAATGCATTAAAACAATCTTAAGGGCTTTTAGTAGGCTATGAATACATTTACATAAAACCGGGAAATTAAGAGCTGAACAGATTTGTAGGGCAGTATTCATTCAGACACTGCATAGGAGAACCGTGATTTCCCTGAAGGAGGTGAAATGCATTGTACAGCTGTCCTTTTCTTGTACAGACCACATAAATCATACGTCACAGTAATTGACTATTGGTTACCTAATGGTAGAAACCATCCTGATTGACCTGGCCCAGTGCCTATTCAGGGATCATATCCAATTCTTCTGACAAGCTTACAAAAACTTCAGCTTGACAAACTTTTGGATTGTTGACTTGATAAAGCAGACATAGCTGTCCTACACCTTCTAATTTGGTCCTTTTGGATATATTCATATTATATTAATGCAGTATAACATACTATATTAATCAACATATGAATTTATTTTACTATGTAACAATTAATTGATATTATTAGTATTGATATTATATTAATACGCGTCATTCTCATTAAGATATACATTGATATTAATTATATATTGATAGACATTGATATTAATCATTTATTGTTCATTTATATTATGACTGATATTATCATATTAAAGTTAATAAGAACTTCTTACATTGTGACTTCCATCCCTCAGCTCCTCTACCCTACCTGAAGCACATGACCCTAAATTTGGATTTTGATTCACGTCAAACTACGTTGGTAATTATTTTTAAGCATCAAGCTTGACGAGGAGATGTTTGAGAGCAGCATTCAGCGGAACAGGAAACACACACTTCTGAGTGCAAAGTACCCATCTGACATTCTTATTTGTACATCAATCGCCAGCACACCTGCACTTTGACGATTGTGTTGGTTTAAGTCTTTGTAAGTCTTAATTAGCCTGAAGGGAAATGTGAAGTCTCTGCTGATCTTTCTTTGTTTGCTTTTTATTGGACCAGCACTGCCTGGACAATCAGCATATATTTTTGTCAGGAAAACCTTTTTAAAAATATTTTATTTAAATAAGTTAAACTTAATAAATGCCTTACAATGATACAGGAGGTCTGTATTGTGGATGGCAGTTCCAATAACTGTTAATGTTTTTCCCATTTACTGTATATGTATTACAATTAGCAACATGACGTTTGTTATTTTCCATCATATAGTCTAATTCCTACCCAGCTTTTAATTGTGAGCAAATGTACGTGATGTACATGAAATGTTGAATGTTTGAATTTGAATGTTGTTTTAATCTAGAATCAACCACAATTAAGGAAGATAAATGTCAAACCAAAAGTGACGAATGCAGATTGCTGAATTAGACTTTAATTTACTCCGTATTCCAGATGTTTGCTAGTGTCTTTGGGAATCTACATTCTATACTGTGTGCCTCCAATGAAGGCATTCAGTCCCAGCGTAGGTATAGCCCCACAGCCTAGATGTTGCCAGTTCAAATCTGGGTCATGCCTTCTCAGATTGAGCCAGCAAGGGTTTTCTCAGCTTTCAGTGAGACAAAAACTCCTGTGTCGTGCCGGGTACCTGCAGGCTTTCTGTAATGTCCATGAGAGGTGTTAACCAATGTTCAGCAAGCTGTGATGATGGCAGCTTGTCACAAGATGAACCGCTCTGGCAGGTGTAAGAGGAGAACATCCACATGCCCTTCCACTCATTTCTGGAAGGCTGAGCCTTACAATGCAAGATTCTCAATTCCCAATCAGGTACGGTATCCCTATAATTAAGTTTAACTGTTGAAAAAGTGGGTGCCTTGGTGGCGCTGTGGTTAGCATTTCTGCCTCGCAGCGATGAGGCCCAGGGTCCAATTCCAGACCTGGGGTGTTACCTGTATGGAGTTTGTGTGTTCTCCTTGTGTTTGCATAGGTTTCCTCCAGATGGTCCAGATGGTCCAGGAGAAAAAATGGCCGTGGCGCGAGTGTGTTCGCATCTGTTTCTGTGTCAGCGTGTGCCCTGCCTTGCATCCATTGCACGTTGGGATAGGCTTCGGGTTCCCTGAGGCCCTGAACCGGATGAAGCGGTCAGGGAATTAATGGATGTTGAACGTGCAGAAGTACAAATAAACACTGGCTGTTTAATGTAATTCTGGAAAGACAGACTAGGTTGAAGACTGAACCTAGACTGCTGGCCATGGTACAGAATTTCAAAAAGAGTGGGAAAGATTGAGAGGTGGCTTACAGCTGGAATAATAATAATAATAATAATAATAATAATAATAATTCCATTTCCTTATATATTCTATTCAAAGAGCTTTATAGGTAATAGAGACTCCCCTCCACCACCAGTGTGCAGCCCCACCTGGATGATGTGACGGCAGCCATAGTGCACCAGAACGCTCACCACACACCAGCTATCAGTGGGGAGGAGAGCAGAGAAAAGCCAATTGATAGATGGGGATTCTTAGGAGGCAAAGATTGGTAAGGGCCAATGGGAAATGTAGCCGGTGACGGTGTTACACCCCTACCTACACGGTGAGAAACACCATGGGATTTTAAATCACCACAGAGAGTCAGAAACTCGGTTTTAGATCTCATCCAAAGGACAGCGCCTTTTTACAGTACAGTGTCCTCGATACTATAATGGGGCATTAGGACCCACACAGACCGCATACAATAATTTCTATCCTATATATCACTTCAGTTACAGTTCATCAAATTTACATATACTGTAAACTTAAGAGACTAATGTACATGTGTTGTACAATGCCATGCATGACCCATCAGAATTGACATTCATAGTTAGAAATATTTATGTTTTATTTCAGCTAAATTTTAGGGACATACTGTATCACGTTCCTTTGAGGTCAGTGCTACAAAAGTGCAACAAAGAGAAACACAAATTACATGTTTTTTAAATAAAATTAAAGGCTTTGTGATTTATTGCAGAAACAAAACCAAAAAAAAATTATAAAATAAATCTGGATTAAACTGTTTCTTCCCATGGGACTGCTGCAGGGACCTGTAACATGACAAAATCCATATTGATGAGGATTATGGAAAATACATCCCGATATATTTAATCAATTTCTAGCAAATTAAGACAGCCAACTTAATATATTCATCTAGAAAATATTACATGTATATCAACTGTATATAGATTAAGGCAGTTTGTACACCTCCTAAAATGTCATTCTTATTGGAAGAAATAAATTAGCATGCTCTGTGGAGATCCTTGGTATTGGTCTTTGCAGGAGCAAAGCAGGCATGCCTGGACATTATTTAAGAATGTATTATTGTTTTAAAATGTATAAGCTGAAAGAACAGATGCATTTGCGCATCAGGCTTTAATGTTATTTACCTTGTTTCTGACAAACAGTTGCATGCATGTACACAAATTAAAAAGGAAAAAATAGTGTATTTTTTTTTTAAAGCTGTAATGATTAAAAATGGCTTCAAGCACATGTTTTACCTTTTACTTGGCTATTATTCCAGAGATTCCCTGTGGAAGGAGTTTCGGAATGAATCCTTTAACTAAAAGACAAAATAAAAAACAATTAAAAAGGGACCACTTACTGTTTCAACATCTTGCAGTGCACATTGAGAACTCTAACCCAACATTACACATTCTTTTGTTCCTTTTCCATTTTGATATGAAATCATTCTGAAATGTTTCCACTACTGCTGCCGAAAAATAAAATAAAGATTATATAAATTAGTGTGTACCATTATCTGTTCTCCCCGTGTTTGTGTGGTTTTCCTCTGTGTGCTCTGGTTTCCTCCCACAGTCCATTGACATGATGTTAGGTTAATTCGTTTCTGTAAGTTTTACTCTGGTGCGAGTGTGTGCGTGCTTGTGTACAGTTTGTGTTGAGACCTTGAATGGAATAAGTGGTTATTGAAAGTGATGTAATGTTATGTGCTATCATCTGACATTAAGATTTTATGTTCCCGAGCCCAAACCAGAAGTGTTATCATTACAGTAATGCAGGCTGTAATTCAGATGCACAAGAGGTAGGCTCTTCAGAACACCAGAACGGCAGCTGGCTGTCACGGTCGACATCCCTCTTCGAGAGGGCGCTCTGACCTTTTATCATTAGTTTCATTATTACGTGCACTTGTCTCCTGTGTAACCCATCACTATATAAGTAATGTGTCTCCTAAGCTCTTGGCTCTGCATTGGAAGACGGACGCCCGGAGGCCTGCCTAGCATCAAGCCGCCCTACGTCCACAGCTTGAGGGCTCAGGCTTCCGATCGGCGTCCTGACCCAGCTCAGTCCGGGGCCCGGATCGCCTGGCCTCATCAATCTGCTGTTAACCTTGTGTTCCTGTTTTTATCTTAACCTTGTCTTGTCTTGGATGGATCACCCGGCTTTGGATTTTGGACTGCACCCGGATTTCCCCCTTGGACAGTTCTGGACTTGTTTACCTGCGCTCCCCCCCTTGCACCTGATCACTGTTGGCACCGCCCCCTGTTCGCCATCCCTTCCATTCCTAAATGTGTTTTCCCCGTAGCCCTTTTCCAGTCACTTCTGGACTATACCGTCTGCACAGGGCCCTAAACTACACACTACTCGGGAGTCAGGACCGGCTCCCATAACACTGGCACAGACCTTATCCTCTTTTCATGCTTCCCTTTGCATTAGGACTGTCACAGTAGCTCACATATTTACTTAACTTTACTAAAAAACTGCAATCAAATCTCAAAAAAGAATCTCGACAACACAAGATTTATCATTCATCAGCAATCGAAGGAACGTTTTGAATTCAAACATGCAGCAGTACAGACATGGTCATCTTACGTTTTGTAGAAATGCCAAAAAGTCTACTTTTTCCTGCCTCTTGAGTGCTTTGGAAGTAGATTCTCTAGCATGCATGTCCGTCTCAACCTGGGTGCTGTCCTCCACAGGATGTGTGTCTCTATCTCCTGTCTCTAGCAAAAATTGCTCCATTGTTGCTGCATCCCTTAAAGGCAGCATATCCTGGAAGTGAATCTCTGGCAGGAGAGAACACTGTGTGGAGACACTCCTTGTTGATTTGATTTCCAGATCTGGCAGGGAGGAATAGGTGGACTTCTGGTTTTCTGGTGTTTTTATCTTTAGCTGTGCGTGAAGATATGACTGCTCATCCAGCAGCCTGCGCACCTGCTGGAAATAAAAGAACCCAAGGATAAAACTTCAGAATAAGAGACAGCTGTAGCACATGCATTGATAGTTTAATGCTTAAGTTTAAGCGCTTTGAGTGGAGTGTCCAGAAAAGCGTTATATAAGTGTAAGCAATTATTATTATTATTAATGCTGAATAAAAATACAAATTAATATTTTATACCTTCCATAGTTGTGATACATGAACAGTATGATATTTATTTTGTGCTACAAAAGGGTTTACGTACCTGGCCAGCCTTCATAAAGGGGTTGTCCATCATGTGAGTGCTAGTTTATCATTCATACCTACAGTAAATAACGTGCCTTACAGGTGTCTCCTCTTCTAAAATGCTACTGAATAATTTTAACTGGACATTTCTGTGTCCCTGTTTATTACAATACGCTCTTGGGTTTTTCCCTACTCAGCTACACTTGCTAGATAAATTACGACCCGGGAATGCTGAGAAATATCATTTGTTCATTTCAGGCTTTGCCCTGAAGTCTGACACACATCAGTTAAGGGCTTCCCCTTAACTTTAAATACAAAATAAATGTCAATTATAGCCCATTCATCTCAAACCTGGGTATAGTATGTATCCTAACCATATTTTTGCATGAAATTTGTAAATATCAATCAATCCAGCATGGCTTTTAGTACGAAGCATTGTTAACCCATAATCAGGAAGAACAGACAATGTCTTTGTAAAATTAATACAATAAGAATAAAAAAAAATCTGATCATTCAGAAAATAAGGCAATAGAAGAAAAGACTTCTACCAAATTATTAAAGATGAAAATACATTATATATAATGGACCTCAGAAATATCCTTACCATGTTTAATCCTTCGTCATAATTAAAGGCAAGATCTGCTAGCTGAAGCTCAAGTTCGTTTACTTGCTCTTTCACAGCTGTTCGTAACTCTTGAATGCAGCTGACCTCCTCTCTAAGGGATAATAAAAATAAGTAAATTAGCAAACAAAAAATTATGACAATGAAAAGGAATTAATTGTCATGCTTCCTACAGTTCTGTGCCTAACTGTTCACCAGCTGACACTTAGAAATTTGGAATAGCTTCTAATATACAGTATTGGCATGTCTATTTCAAAGAAATTCGTAGAGACCCCAAAGATTGCAAGAGTATACCTGGCTCCCAGAATGATTTGGTATCCCCACCAGCACAAACTAGAGCTAGTCCCATTGTCATTTTATTATTTATATCATTACAATAAGATCCATACATAAATAACTTAATTAAGTTATGTTTTTATCTTGGGCTTCTGATCTTAATGCTAGGTTGGTAACGTGATTTACAGTCAACCTTTTTATCATTGATGTCATTTATTATTATACTTTTTCTTCAGAAGGAGAATAAAAAAGTACAGTAGATGAGTTGTTCTTACTTGTCAATATCTGACAGAAAATCATAAACTGAAGTTTGTTCTTTTCCAAGTTGTTCCTCAATTCCCACAAACGTTTCTCGGAATTTCCGTAAAGATCTTATCAAGCCTTCTAATTCCTCCAGCGTGTACTGTCAAAACAAAATTCAAATAATGCACGTGGTTTATTAAAATATTACACACGAATGCATGAAAAAATATTATTCAACACACAGTATCTATGATCTACCACTGCAATAGTAACAGTATTCTACTGTTCCTAGATAATGTATTCACTTTTAAAGGGCTAAACGTCTCTGCACATTTATATGCATAATTGTCACTTCTTGTCATCTGATATGCCAGAACTAGTCACTGCCTAAAACACAGGGTTTAAAGTTGATCTTCTCTAAGTTTTTTGTTTTGCTTAATAAAGTATTTTCTTAGTACTCTTATGTATCCTAACACCATTAGACATACCCCATTTCCTTAATTTACTCCTTGTACTCTTCAAACAAAAGCAATTGTTTTATAATAACCGTATTTATAACAAAAAAACACAATACTTTAAAAAACAAAAATCACAAATCTTTATATTGTACATAGAGCATGGGGTTTACATGCATATGTAGAAACATTTTGTTAAGTTCTATAGAATTAATAAAGCATACAAATACAGTATAATGTATTTCCAACAAATTCTTTGACTCTGGTCCTTGCGTGACTATAAAATCTTCTGGTTTTCATTTAATTTGATCTCTTCGTAAGAACACTGAACTATTCATTCTCTCCCTTCCTCAATTTTTAAAGAAATATCATGATGAAAAGACACCTAGAATACTTAGTCCTTCAAGGATCTGTTGAGAAATGTTGTTCAGAAGAATTGTTTGCAGTTACATAATGGTGTATACTGTATGTTTAATAACAGCTTTTTTGCATTTTATATGTTTGTCACTTCAAAAAATATATTCAAAACATATCTCACTATGTTTCATAACTTATAATGAATATCTTATACAACATTTTGAGGATTACTACAACTGAAAAAGAAGGCTTTTAATAAACTGCAACAATAATATTCCTGAAATCTCATGTCTTGGTTTTCTTCTCATATTATACAATTTCTATGTGACTCTGATGCTTTTGCTCAAATTATATCTTATCTTATCTGATATCTTATCTTACTTTTCCAGCTCAGATAGCTTGTGTGAGAGGTCTTTCCAAAGCCCAATAACAGGAAATGACAGAGGGAAAAGTTATCAGAGGTGCATCTTATTAAGGCGGTAATGCTCTACTAACTGACTTTAGATGTTTACAAGATGTTAATTGCTTTCCCTGTCGCCTTCCTTCATGTCATTTGAAGGTGTTTTATACACAAACAGTTTCAGTCGTAGCCATTGTGAATCTGTCCTCATGCTCAGATTTTAAGGTCCTTAGGAAAACCATGAAATACACAAGATATTCATTGGAGAGAGTTAGCAGGTAGGCTTTTATGGAAAAAAAAATCTAAGGTACTTCTGTTTGTTGAGGGATTTTTGTTATAAACACAGCATGACATCAAATATTGGTTTAGTATATTACGAGTAGTGGAAAGTTAAAGGTTTAGTTTAGGTTTCATTGACTGTTTTGCTTTTTAAATTAACCTCAGTCTCCCCACAGAGAGAGCAGACCTAGTTTTTAAATGGTCCGACTGTGATGTATAAATCTCTGATTCTGTATTTATAGTAGAATGCCATCTACTGGGAGATACAGAATCTCAATTATGCAATGGGGTTTTGAGGTCTAATTGAGCAAAAGGAAATCTTTGATTTCTAAGCATGTCCTGTATTTTTTAGATGTTTGTTTTATTTGTCTTTTGTTACTTAATCACGTAGTAATGACCACAGAATACCAGTGGCTCCTGCGGTTGGCTGATGTAGAAAACCCAACATTTTGTCATTTGGAAATGACGGAGCTAATCAACTTTTGTCCCAGTATTGCTTCTCAGAGTCACTGTCTTGCTTTCTTTTAGACATTTCACACATTTTCTAATGTTGGCCATGCTAAATGTGACTGTATAGTACATCCAATGAATCTTGTGTCCCACCACAGCTGAGGTACTGTACCTGCCTTCTCTCCTTCACAGTAAACTGGGCATATGTTATTGTACAAACCAACCAAATATTAAAATACCTCTTCTTTTTTTTCTCTTCTTAAATGAATGATGTAAAATGGAATTATGCACTTGGCTTACCGGAAATGTGGAAAAGTTTCTTACAGCATGTTGAAGGAGCTCCAAAGTTTTACTGATGTGATGTTCCCTTGAAGTGCATGAGCTACGGGATGAACAGCAGCTGCAATGGTGCTCATGCCGACAACAACAAGAAACCTGGCCTGAGACGACCTCCTCATATTGTCTTTCATCATGGTCAAGCCCAGTATCCAAAGACATGGATTTTGTCCTAAAACTGGAGCTCTGCATTCCATGTTTAGGTGCTGTTCTATGTAGATGATCAGCGTTGATCTGATAAACATTATTTGGGTGTTCTAAATAAGGAACACTTTGAACATCAGACCTATTTCTGTTGAAACAGGAATTTTGTTGGACTCTCTGGAAAGTCTGTGCGACAGATCCTAAAGAAGTGTCTTTACTTTGTTTTACACTGTTTTGGGAAAACGAGGCTAGATTCGAAGGCATTTGCACAGTGACACTTCTGGTGGACCTAAAACCTGACTTAGCTTGCATGTGTGAGTCCTTCATGTTGTGAGTTGTCTTGATTTCTGAATCTGGAATTGGGTGTGGAGAGTAATCACCTAAATTGTTGTCTGAAAACATTGTTTCTGCAGTTACACTTTGCCAAAATCTCTGGTTGGTTTCTGTTTGTGACCCTTCACATTCCATCTCAGAATTATTAAAAGAAGCATCACTAATCCTTCGTTTAGTACCTAGTGTAACAGGAAATTCCTCATCCCGAATTAATGTTTGTGTCTCTGTAACATCTTCATATGGGGATTTATCATTCTTTGTGCTGAGGTTCAACCCGGCTGTTGTTCCCTCTTTGAAAGCAGGTATCTGTACCTGATTTTCTTCATTTATAGCTTTTACATTCAAGGCCAAAGAAGATATTATTTCCAGTTCTTTGTCGGGAATCAGACTATTTAAGTCAGAAGCATATGTTTCTGTACTAGTCTTCAGCCGTCGCTCTGCCTTTCCATTTTCTTTGTTATAAATGTTGTCATTTAAATTTCCCTCATTCACGTTTCCATTGGATCCGCAGTCTTGCAATGATAATGCCTCTGATTGTTCTGCTTTCAAACATTTCTGGATTTCACAGTCTTTACTGTCTTCTGTACTGTCTCCAGTGTCCACATCAGTCCCAGAACATATTTTGTTATGGCCAAATCCCAGATCTGAAACTGCATCAGTGTGGTCACTTGATGTCAGCTTGGGTGTCTTTGAAAGTTCTGCTTCTTCAGATTCTGTGTTTGAGAAAGATAGATCCTTGCTTCCCTTCAGAGTACTCTGGCTGTCTATGCTGTCTCCAGATATTGTATGCAATGCCTGCAAGAAAAGATCACATATCTGGGAATGAGAATCTAATTTTGTACTACAGTCCATATTCTTTTAGATTTTCCATCACTGCAAATTTGTTTTAGAGAAAAACAAATTACAATCACAAAGCAACTTTTTTATGATTATGTACATCTACTGTATGTCTCACATGAAACACTTTAGAAAGTAATTTTCACCTACAATTATTACTATGCAAAACTAATTGGTATTGCATATCATCAATTATGATACTCTAAGATATTGTGATATGTTGAAATGTCATTATTTGTTATTTTAAGGAATACAAATACATGCATGGTAAGAAATGCTTGCTTGAAGATGAGCAGTACAGCTTCATTTAAGACGTGCATTCAACAGCTTAAATCAAACTTCAACAATACCATGAGTTTCAGTAAAGTCAGAAGTACACTGTCTCTGAATTTGGTTAGCAGCCACTGATGCAGGCTTCAGAAACTGGCTTGCAGTTACTGATGGTAATTTCACTGCACAGTGTTACACTGACCATGTACTGAGACCTGTGCTCCACCTGTTGCTCTGACAACCCCAACCTCAATTATTATTTCCCGTAACCCCAACCTTATTTCCCTTAATCTTTCAGCACTCATCCTTCACATAACAGAGGTCACTCAAAACTTTTTGCAAGGACCTGGGATCAATGAATTTTGGCCAACATTCTGTAATGAGCTGGACAGATACTGTATGTACTGTACCAATGTCAACTACTGCTAAATAATATCAATTGACTGTGCTACAGTATATGACCCATATTTCATCATTATCACGATTCTAGTGTCGCATTTCTAAAGTGTTTCCATATGAATATACATACAATACAATGGTGGCTTCTGTTATTTTGGGAGTAGAAAATGTTTATTCTGGGTTCTTATGATACATATGTATTATATTTTCAGTATATCTTGGTCCGTTGTCATTACAAATTTCTAACATGTTTCCAAAAGGACAATGAAATTTCATGGTGTTGTAGGATCTGCCTGAGCTTTTCTCTGGTGGATATGCCTTCTCTTCTGGCTCAAAAGAAGGAGAGATCCTCCACTGTTGTGGATCCATCCCAATAGTTCATCTGTTCAGCTGTTTGATGACATTATGCAATGTTCCCCAGCTTTTCTCAGAACGAACTGCTGTTATGTTGGATGCCGACATTCACGATGGTTGCCTTTGCACTGATGTTTGGCCAACGTTAGACTTGTCTGTCCCACAATGGCTGGGGACATCTGCAACTTCATTGTCCTTGAAAGGTCCAGTTTCTCTGAAATGCATCGTGAATCTTACTCCATTGTCAGCTTCCTAACTGTTCTCTTCATCATCTATCCTGCTTCTCCATTTTTGTTTCATTTTCACTATCCTCCTTCTCGGCCTCTTAGCATTGGTGTTGCGTTTCCCTGGGGACTAATTCCAAGTCACATCCATTTTAAGTCTTACTATTTATGAGGCATTTTTTACAGGGCAAGTGAGAAATCGCTGCAATTTTTCAGTCTGCGCAGTTCAAATTTATTTTTTCTCATTTCATTCATGAAGAAATTAAACGAACATTGTACATAAACTAATTTAACTGAAAGAAGTATCCTCTTCAAGACATAACATGGTTATTTTATGACTGAATTTCTCTTCTAAATCTTCTAAAAGCTTAGTTATTGGGTGGCCCTCCCAGGTGGAAAGGTGAATGGGAAGAAATCAGTATTTTTTAAAAAAAACATCACCCACCAATGAATGCATTTCTAACTTGAAGCAAAACCAACCCTCCTTTGGTCACCCACGCATGCTTATCAGAAGCCGCTGGACCCATTTTCTTGTGTTCTGGGAACATACAAGACTTTTGGAAATATGCATCACATCTAGGCTAAAAACATATTTGTTTAGTCAAGCCTACAGATAGATACTTAAAAAACGCCGGCCATGCAAACCTACCAATTTCTGCTTTCATTGTCATTCACTAATACTTTGCTACAGTATCTCTTTTCACTCCGTCCTTCCTGAGCTGGACGGTTTGGAGGCCAGAATCCAGCTCCTTCTACTGGTCGTTAAATCACACAGCGGATCGCCTACAAAGCCCTTCCTCGCCTACCTCTGCTAAAGCCAATACTGCAGTCCTGCTCACCTGAGCACCTGCCAGACTCGAACGTTCTACTAAACCTAGTTTAGTTAAACTTAGCTCAGTTGACACCCAAGGTAGGATTAGGGTTAACATCCTCACACTACTTTGACAATTTTTAAGGTCAGCACTGGATTTTGGGGCCAATGGTAGGTTTAGTTTAATGACTTCTTCCTCCTATCTGAATTTTCTTTTTTTTGGAAACTCTCTAGGGCCTGGAAGGTGACGTGCCAAGCACAGTAATTTATCCCAAAACTGGGTCAGTCGGATTGAAAGTTCTAACCAAACATTATAGAATCTATCTGCAAGAGCTTTTATCGATGGCTTTGATTGCTTCCCACTCATACTTTTTAGCAACTTTTAGTAAGTTCGACTCTACAAGGCCACCGGACCGACCGACCCTGGCGTACTCTGTCCTCCCCCCACCCCAAGAACTCAACTTCTCAGTGAAAATCACAACCGAAGGAAACTAACTGAACATTCTGGACACTTTTGGACATTATCGTACTTGACTGAGCTAAAAATACTAGTCTGCTTTTCCCACCATGTAATTCAATATAGACGACTTTCACAGCTGTACACTTCACTGAACCTGGTGCCGGCCAGAGGAGGACTTCCCCTTTCTAACCTTGGTTCCTCTCAAGGTTTCTTCCTACTATAATCTGAGGGAGTTGTTCCTTGCTACTGTCGCCAGGGCTTGTTCACTGGGGGTTCAGGCCCGGAAATCTGTAAAGCTGCTCAAATTAAAGAAAGATAATTTCTCTAATGAAGGGGCTGAAGAGCGATTCATTTATCCCTAAATGAGGTCTGACCTTATCCGTTTCCCATTGTGCTTTTGGAGAAAAGCATGAAAATCACATTGGAAAGTGCAAACTTTCAGATCTGCATTCCAGGGCCCGTGACCTTACAGAGATTTTACTGAGTTTGAGACCAGTGACTTAATTGTTTACAAACAAGGCTTTCATATGATTTGAAACTGAAGATATCCTTTTTCTTTTTGCTATAATGGCAGGATTTAAGATCAGCTGTGGCTGTGGAGGTTCTGCTCTTGTGGTTCATCATGACTTGCCGCTTTTTCTCCTATATTCAAGCCTCCAATGCTTATTTATCTGTCTCCCATTTCAAATCGTCTTGTTATTAAAATGGGTTGTGGACTTTAGATTGAGGTGAAAGACATCTTAACAGTGTCCATGGTTTTGAAGGCTGTTTATGATCCATGATGGTGTTGTTTTCTTCATTTTTCTGGATGTGTCTTTGGTGGATGGATTCTGGTGTCCTTGACTATCCATTGAGGTTATTTGCATGTTCCTAGCTACTGTATGTTCTCAAATCAGTATCTGACAATGATAACTACTTCTGTGTAAGACCGGGGTACCATGGGAAGGGTCAATTTTGCTCGATGTCTTATTCTCAAATGAGGCCGTTATACTCTGAAATTTGAGATTTATTTTCTGTCTGTTGATCGTTATGTTTTATTCTATCCATCCACTGGACCAAGCTTTAAACCCACATGTCTGACTAAGAATGAAACATTTCTAAGTCAGGAAGCATTAAACTTTTATGAGAAATAGGGCAATGAGCATTCACGGAAATGAGTATGATGTATCAATGAAAATGTCAGCTTAAAGTTTGTTTCTATTCCAAATTTATTTGCATTTCAATATTTAGTTTAGTTTGCAATAAGGTGTCGTGCACTTTATACTTACTAATCTACATTATTGTTCTGTCTCATATCTGTCAAAAAAGAAGCAGTCAAAAGTGTAACAGAAAGAAGAAACTCCAAAGGTTACCTTCAATACCTCAGGTGCAGGCGATGATTGTGGCAGAAGTGAAGGAACAGAAGGTTCTTCCAGAAACCCACTGCTGTCTGACTGGCAACTGTTTGTCCTTATAACACCCCCTCCTAGATGACAGGAACAGATTCAACACCGTTAACCACAAAATACTGTGAAAAAGCACGAGGAGTTTTTCACATTAAATGAACACGAATTACATAATTTCACAAGACTTCTTTCCTTCATTGACAAAAATGTGAATTGAGTCTGTCAAGAACTTTCTGAGGCAATGTTTGATAGGTGAGTTGCTATGCTCACATCTACTAAAATGTTATACTCATTAATCCACAGGTGTTGCACAGTGGATAAACACCACCGCAGATGTGGGAAAGGATGCATGTAAAAAGAAGTACTGTAAGCAGGGGGCAGGTTCAATCTGCAGTTTCAGATGGTGAATTTAATGGATGCCAACAGCAGAGGGAGTCATTGCTCCACCACTTAAGCTCCTACAACCTGTAAAATGTGTTGTCAATAGCACGGACAGTCATTTCTTTCTTTTTAACATTTTAAGGTTTTGCTTTTCCTCTGGATGTTTAATTGCTATATCATTAACTTCTAAAGTTTTTCATTAGTTATCTCTGCAAAAAGAAAAGCTAAGACCCAAAAGAAATCATTTGTTTTCCTGACTACCTTTTTAAAAAAAGATGAGATAATCAGTAAGCTGCCACTGTATGCTGTTACTTTCCATTTAGCCCAAATGGCATGTAACCCTTCCGATTCGGGAAGTAAGGAAAGACAAACAGAAACATTTAAGTTGGATACCTTTGTAAAGCAAAGAAAAGGGCAATTGTAAGTGATAAAAAATTCCAATTTGCACTTGTTGGATATTCTTATTCACTGTCTTCTTTTTTACTCTGCTTGGAGATTTTGGCAGTACAGTCTCTTGCGGTACGGCTTGCCCTCCTTTGGTCAGATTATGTTCTTCTAAGATTTTTTTCAAAGCAAATAAGCATCTGGTTAGAGCTGTGACTGAAAGAGCTGAACTCTCTCAGCTCGGCACAGGGAACAGTGCAATAAGCAAACCCTTAGAATGCCAACAAGCAGTCATGTTATTACAAATAGTCTTATTAGACTAATTAAAATTGTACTGCTTTTCTGTGTGAAAAAACACAGGAGAGGTATGACTTGATAAGCTATAGACTGTAAACAAGTATGAACGCATAAGGCTATTTATCCTAATTATTACTATTAATTATTAAACCAATTTTAAGTGAGTCTTAAAAATACCTAAAATATCTTCTGCTCCTGGCGTGGTGATGCTCCCTGAAATGCTTCCTTCATCAAAGCTGTGTATCTGGTGTCAAGAAGGGGAACATACAAAAACTGAAATCATGACATTCAGCTGTAAATACGGTTACAACACATTTCAGAGAAAAGCCTCATGTGTGGACATACGCTGAGTTGGCTTTCAGTGCTGTGCTTGTGTGTAAAATACAGGATGTGACACGAAGAAAACGATGAGATACTGGCATCCAGTACATTCTGATAATGAGAGGTGTTTATCATTGTGCACAAACCTTGCCTCTTCAAAAATACCAAAATGCTAAATATCAACAGCAACCTGACAGAAACACAATACATAAGCCAAAAAAAAAAACATCGCCAGTTGTTTTGTTAACATCTGTTGTATCCACACAACGATCAGTGGTGTAACCAGATACCATTTTTCTCTCTTTAAATCACAGAAAATCGCTGGAATCTCATACAAGCTGTTCTGCATGAGAAATATTTCAAAGGGTTTTCTGATGAAGGAGGGATTTTCGAATTAGCATACCAACAGAAAGGCATGTTTGAACACCAAAACACTTTTTGTTTAATGTAGCAAATGCTGCCTCAGTGATACCGAACACCAGAAGAGCTGTTAAAAGAACAAAGCCTTACCTCCTCCATCTCAAAGGACTCGGGAGGTTCTCGGTCTCCTCCCTGTTTTCGTCTTGTAGCACCACAGCGAGGCTCCTTGGCCGCTCTCACTCTGTGGCCTGTCTCCGAGGCCAGGGAACGCTCTGGCTCCCTTTCTTTCGGAGGAGGCTGGGACATCAGGGTGTCGTTCACCGGTCCGGTCAAGTCCTCAGGGCAGGATATGGGCTTTTTGTCACCGGCGGGGCCGAGCTCTTCCTCCAGCGGGGTCAAGGACGCACTTTCCGGGAGACACGGCCTGGCGCGCTTGAAAGCGGGCCTCCGCGGGGACGGCGGGGTTTCAGGAGGCTCTGCGGACTCCGGGACGCCGGACGGCCCCCGTCCGGTCTGTCCCAAACTGATGGTCTTTTTGGAGGCCCACCGGAAAAGCATGCCGACCTTTGTTCTCTTGTCCTTCGCGTCCGGGGGTCCTCCTTGAGCAGCCCCCCCGCCCACAGGGCCCGGCGGCTGCGTCGCCACCCCCCCGTTGTGGACCAGAGAGGAAAAGGCACTGGTCACCTGCTGCAAGACCTCCAGCTGACGGAAGCGAACTGAAAACCACGCATGAGAAATGCATTAGCCGCGCCTGCTTTCGTGTTAAAGCCTGGCCTGCCATCTTAACTTGCTCTGAAAAGAAAAAGAGACTTATTTATTTATAGTCTGGTGCAAGTGACACAAGGAGGGTGGCTTTAAAAGTTAACCTCACTGCTGACTGAAAGACACAACCAGTAAGCACATACATAAAGAGAGAGGGAGAAGAGAAAATATGTCATTCCTAAACTTCCCTATACAAGCCCTTGGAAAACGTTCCCATAAAGACATGGTGAATCCATAATTGCATTATGTTTGACTTGGGGAATTCCTGTGTGGCCAGAGTACTCATTGAGGAAAATGCCAGTTACAGGTAATCTCTCTTAAATTTGTTCTAATCATCTCCATATGACAACAGATCTTCCAGATATCAGAAAATGCAAATCTGTGTCAGTGGCATTCATACTGTTCCGAGGAAAAAAGAAAACAAATGAATCCATGCGACAGCTCGCAAATTGAGTTTCACAAATGTACCAGATCTGCGGTTGTCCACGGAGGAGAACACTAATCAGACTTCTGTCTGGGGTGAAAACACTTTGGAAATTAGTTTTGCTGTTTTACAGGAAGGCTGCATAAAAATGTACAGTGATAAATTCCAAATTGTCACATTCTACATCAGAAAAGTGCATCACTTATTTTACTCACTTCTGAAGTCAGGGTTCTCTATATCCATCCGAGTCTTTTGTGCTTGCAGGAAGACCTGGATATTGATGCCCCTTGCTTGCGATGCATAGTTGATAAACCGCGCTGGGATTTTAATAGAAATGTCAGGCTCTTCCATGCCAAATCCCAGGTCTAACAGGAGCTCTTCCGGGTCATCATGCCGAAATTCCAACACATCCATGACACTGGATCAGAAAGCATAGAGACATAAATATACAGTATTTAAAAAACTTTTAAAATATACAGTACATAAATTGTAAAAACATTTAAATATTACTTGAGGGATAAAAGAAATTTATTTGAACCAAATGTCACTACTGAGTATCCAAAAATCAGAAACATTTTCTATCCACAAAGACTCAAGATGTTTTTATGATTACATTCTGCAGAAAGGAAAAACTGGTTATGCCATTCAAATCACTGTCATGTTCTACAGTAAGCGGCTGCAAAAAATTGTAATTGAGTCTCTTTATGGTGTACTGTACACACATAGATTGGAAAGTTACAAAATGGATCAATTTTTCTTCAGTTTAATGACAGTCTAAACAGAATGAAACAGAATGAAATCTCTTAGATAAACCTCATACTCTACACTTGTTTGTAACCACTCATGTTATTTTTGAATACTTAGTTATGAGAACGCAGAATTTAAAAACAATTCTAACCTTACTATTCCTGAAGCAGCTGAATGTGAGGATGCCAAACTGTTCCACCTTGACAGCACAGGGTTTCCTAAGGATGACTTCAGGGATCTAAAAAATTTTCATAAGAACTTTTGCTCTCTCACATACAAATTTAACTGCACCTCCACATGAATATTCCAAAGAAAACATTCTGTGTGCATGTTTACCCATCCAGCAAAAAAGCAGGACATATAATTATCCTCCTATTGTAAGGTACACGTGCAAAACATTGCCAATATATCTCATTGTTGTTAAAGAACTGGGATATACAGTTTTAGATGCATCAAACTCATCAAATAATTTAGTTGAAAATATTGATTTATCAATAAAAAAACTTTATATTATGCACTAGTCACTCCAGAACAACTTTGCAGTTCTTGAAAACAGAATAAATAATTGATCACATAAATAATGAAGTGAACTAATGAGCAATTGAGAGAGTAAGTAAATTACATTTTTTCCCCTTTAAGTAAGTACATACAGGACACTGCTTATTATTGTCTTTTTATTCTAGCTACACAAACTTTAGAATGCACGCATTTTCAATCACCTTAAAAAATAAAAATCATTATTTTGTAAATATCACCAGAAACATTTCAATTTACTGGCTACAATATATATAGAACAATAAATTAAAAAAGAATAAATCATATTATCATGCACTGATGATAGTCTGGAAGGAGGTCTACACTAACACTCAGTTCCTAGTTTATTTTAGATTTGCTAGGCAAATATTTTTCATCCATCACCAACATGTGACATGTTCCTTTTTTCCCCAGTATGACTGCACTCTTGATAGACTGTTAGCACAAGTAAAGATAACTACTTTCGTTTCAAACAATGTTGATTTGTATGAGCTTTCAGGTGTCTTTGACTATATGATCCCAATGCATATGAAATATACAGCACTCTACTTTTGCACCAGTCTTAAGTTTATCAGATGTTTACGTTTAAAATGTTAAATCTGTATCAGTGGAACCATGCTCATTATAAAGGAGTATGTATGGTTTGCTATCACTGCCTGTTTTGTTACACTGAACAGTTTCTTTGCATTTGTGACTCACAGTATCAACAGAATGACTCAAAATAAAGGACTTGTATTCGTGACTGAGAAAATGACAGCTGCACATACTAAATGTCTGTTTAGTTTACTTTTCTCTCTACTCCAATATATGAGTCCTAATACCTGTGTCAATTGGCATTTGCACATTTATGCACGTGAAGAATAAAGCCTTGCACAAAAATATTCATTAAAGATATTGTATTTATTGAAAATTATTATAATTTTAGAATTTTTCTAAACATTAACAACTGAAAAAACAAACAGAACAATACAGAACTTTAGTTACTGTTTCAGACAATCTGCTTTATGACAGTGGCACGGATGTACGCAAAATTAAGAAATTTACAAAAAGAAACATTTACCTTAGATATTCTTGTACCGTCTTGCGAGGTGTGTTCTGTCCATATAATGACGCTGAAAAATAGAGGAAGAAATATTACTACAACATTAATTCAACATTAAATCTTTGATAAATTAGAACTGGTGTTATGGTTGTTTTCAATTGATTTGTTTCATTATCTCTTGTAACACAACTGTTCCTGATCCTTCCTTGTTTTTGTTAATTTCTCCAAACATTATCCGTTTTTTTTTACTGCATGTCTGTGCATGCCTGGTTTTCTAGGAAGGTTGTAGCCCGTCCTACTTCAGGATTTTACTGTGTCATAAACGTCTTTTTCAAATTTTGCGAACTCACTGAAAAGTCCATGAGCAGCGAGGATTTTGAAGCAGACTGAAGGAAAAATGCCGGTAGTTCAATGTGTCAAGACTAAACTTGCTCTTCTTGTTCTTAGAATGGACTTCCCTCTATTAAATGCCCTTAAGTGTGACAACACTTTTCTTGGTAAACATGGCTTCTGTTTGTTTCTGTTTCTATATGTTTTTTTAACTAAATGTTTGCCAATACTCATCTCAGGTGGGCAGATAGTTAAACAACTTTAAGCACATGCATCCTCTCGTGATTTTGGGAGAGCACAAAATCAACAGTCCCACTTACAGATGTCTTTTGTTTGCTGCCCGGGTGCCAAGTGCTCAAATTCCCCCCCAAAAAAACCTTTTCCTTCTCACGCAGCCCAGCAATGTCCTGATTGAATGTGTGCTACTGCCCTTTAATAAACCTTATTGGGTTCAGCTCGTGTAGACTACCACAGCTAGAGTTCTCTTCACTACTTACCAGTGACCTTTCAGAATGACTTTGAAGTTTCTCATAATGTCCTGCACAGGATAGGTCCTTCCCAAAAGATGGTTGTCCTAAATGATCCTCAGCCTAACCCGAACACTAGCCCTTTCCCTAATCATTCTGTTTTTGATTATTTCTCAGAACATTGGAAACATCAGTCATTTGGTTGATTGGTTAGATCAGCAGGGACTGTATGAGCTTCATGACCAGACAGAGGGGAGAATGAGGGAGTGCAGACAGCCTCTTCTGACCCACCTCTCTGTTAACATGTCTCGTACCGCAGGTTCAGTGCTGAGCAGGCGAAAGGCAATCCCTCACTGACTGCACCCTATACCTGCAGACGCAAGGGGAACTCTGGGGGTCACAGTGCAGTGCCTCTGAGAGCCGAGACGCTCTGGCTACCCCATTTCACACCAGTGCCAGAGGAATCTCAGTCACACACCAGCTACTGAGACGTGACCCCAGCTTGAATCCATGATCGTAGCGCTCATCCTGACTTGGATAGACCTGACATTCCTCTCATCGTTCTTCAATATCACTAAATGTAGGCATGGAATGTGTTACTGTGAAGAATGTACCATAGAAAGGCTTGGTATTGTAAATGTGATAAACAGAAATAAATACTGAATACATGTTAAATGTTTATCTATGGTCCAGATGTTGTTAATACAGTTCAAAACAGTGAATTAAATATTGAAACCACAATGGGAAAACATTGACAAATAATGTTTTAAATGAAACAAAAAAATCCTGATTAATTTAAAGTCTAATTTAAGTCAAAACCCCTTATTCAGTATGTATCCCAACACGGAAAGATGTATAATTCCAGATGAAACAATGTAAGAGCACTGGAAGGAGATGTGCAAGGAGATGTCATTAAAATTAAAAGAACATTTTGGAAGTATCTCCTTTTAATTTGTCCTCAGTAAACAGAACTGCTTTCCACAACCTATGTCGTTTACTGTGCATAAAAAAAAACAAATGCAACATTATTTCCAAAAGTCCGATTTTATTTTACATGAGGACAAAAATATCTAAAAATATATAAACGTTTTTACCTTCAACACCCAAAATTAAGTCATCCTCTGCACTGACAAGCCTCTTCAGAGACCCTGCCAATATAGTGAGAAACAACATAACACAATATGAGATAGGACACCTCAGATGTCTGTGCACAAAAGAACAGTGAAGACTGAAGCACGAATCCAAGGGCACTAGTGGAAACAACGTGGAAGTGAATTTATAACCACAATCAGAAAGCACTTCTTTACTCACAGGGTGGTGGGAGTGTCAGATAAGATCCTTGAATCAATCAGCAACTACAGTACATATCAAACAGAGTCCATCTGTAATTAGAATAGCCTGAAAAATCTGAGAACATAGTTTTGTCTATGTAACACTTCATAAAAAACCAATATAGAAATGCTTTCAATGCATATCAATTCGAATGTTGCCAAAGAAAGGCAAATGTGTATTAACAAAAAAACGATGGTTGTTAAAAGTTATTTAAAAAATAGTGAATGGCCCTGAATGCACGTTTCCTGGGTATTTGTTTTCCTTGCTGGTTTTGCATGTTGTTTTGAATGTTTTGACCTTGCCTGGAGATGTACGATTGCAATGAGACACTTCTCATTAACTCTGTGCTGTGGAACAGCGCCAGATATTGTTCGCCATGTTTCAGTTCCATACAGGTAAAAAGAAAATAACTTTTTTTTTTTCTATTTTCGAAGGTTAATAAATGAATATATATGTAATATGTAATTAACATCAATCTATGTAGCGTAATAATAATATGCGATTCTCCGAAATTCTCAGGAGCACAAATCATGATTGCGGAACACAGATTTTTATGAAACAAATGATTACAGCAGTTTAACAGTATCTAAATACCTGTCAGCTCCACTGCAATCCTCCAGAAAGTTTCACAAGATTACTACTTTCCCACTTTTCACTTTTTAAAAAACACTGCTTTTAGCCCATTTTACCTTCACAGATGAAACTCTCTCAAAAGCCTCCAGAGACTTATATCACTCAACAATCACAGAAATGTAATCTGCATTAGCCACCACCTTAACTTGTCTTGGAATTTGGAATAGACAGGCCAGTTAGCAATGTATGCAATGTATTTTTAGGGCCTCATTACATAAAGAGTGCAAGACTCTAGAAAGTGGGCTACCATATCAGACTCCCCGCTGAATGTGAACAGAAGAACTAAGCATACCACTTGGCTAAATAAAAACATTATTGTAAAGTAGCTGAAATTTCCCCAGAAAAAGGGGACAAAAGCCAAATATTATAAAAACAGCAAAAAGATAATTATGGTGAACTCTGTCAAAACTTCAAAGAGACTGGAGACTGCCAAAATATCCAAAATTAAAAAAAATAATTAAAAATGGGCCTATCAGGCACACAGTATGTTTGCTCTGTCAGCATAATAAACCTCATCACAGATTTCAGTCGATTTGTCAAAGCTTCAGACAGAATCTTATTGTCCAAGTAGAGAAGGCTAACATGATGAGAAAAAATCTCCATCCTTTTCGCATCAAATTCACCACAGCGCAACTTTGAGGCAGCAGATTGTCCTTTATGCACTTTCAAAGACAGACTAAAGATCCCCTCCAAAATAAGATCATACAGTGTGCTTCTGTAAAATTCCACAGGTAGTCCATCAATGCCTGGGGCTTTTCCAATGTTTAGTTCATCAACTGCCTCCAAACTTTCTCCAGTGCCAGCTGTGCTCCAGGTCCCAGCTTCTTCTCTTCAGGAACGTGGGACAGAACCACGCGCAACCACCAGGTCTCCACTGCCTCATACACAGCCTCCACTGCGAACAAGTCCCCTTTTGGACTCTCCTGGCTTGTATGCCAGCTGGCCTCCTGCTGTCCTCAGACAGTACATCAGGTCCCTCTGTGCAGGTTTTTTTCAAAAGCATGAAGTACCGTGTACTAACAATGTACCAAAGCCCCATGCGTGTGTGTGTCTAACAAGTCCACTAACCTCTGTTGTGCTTAAAATGTTGAAACAGCGTGTTGTTGTAACTGGCTTTTAAGGCACTGCTAACTTCAAGTTGAATTTTTTGTATCCTGTTGATAGAACAATTTGAACTTCAGCAACATCTGACCATTGTCTAAGACACAGAAAAGCAAATTTTTTGCTGCATCTGTACATAAAACATCTTTAAAAATGAGAATCATGAAACAGTCCATTATTCTTCCAATGGGAAGAATGAATTCCTAGAGAAGTAATACCCATATTTAAATTAACTAAACTATGGTCAGAAAAACCTGAAGGATGAATAGCTGTCCAAAGAAACAAGTTTGAGGGAAAACAAACTACATAAAACCTTTCAAGCCTAGTTGAAGAAATCCTTCCAGGTCTGTTTTAGCACATGTACATTGTGTGTCATTAGTGTGAACTGACCCTCCACAGATCCACTAAATTAGAGGTGGACAAAGTCTGAACTGTCAGTGTAGCTCAGCCCATGTTTCTTCCCTGCTTCTCTCCTCCGAATCTCATACTGTAGTCTCTCTGTCATTTCTAGACCTCTCCTCCAAATGGGCAGCACACGCAATGCTAGCTTTTCACTATAGCACTTGTATGTCTGCCTCAACCTCAGCATTGTCTCTCCATCTCAGCTGTTTGCAATGTAGCATTGATATCCGCCCATAAAACATCTTATGAACTCTGAGGTTGTCAAAGCAATGTAGTCACTCCAAGTCATCCGAAAAGAGAAGGCATTTAAATGTATATCTGGATCATTTAATAACATATGTAATTGTCCTCTAAAAGATACAACATGTTTAGGAAAATGAGACTTAAACACGAATGGAATAATTCAGATATAGAGTAAGGTATGATTTCAATGAATCGCTTTTTCAGAAATGGCAGCACATTTGAAATCTTTGGAACTACAAGAAGCAAAACAGAAACTAAACTCTTCTTGGACACCCCTCTGAACAAAATCTTCACTGCTCAAAAAAATACAACCACTGATTTCTTCATTCTAGAGGCCGGTTTGATGTTTTCTACATCCTACTGCTTTTCCCAGTTCACTAACATATTTCTCTACAGGAATGATAGCACCAACAATGATTTTGGAGCCGTATCCCCTCAACAGTCTGGCAAGAAACTTTTCTTTGGATCCCACCTTCAGCAGCCATAAACCATCAGAGGTCATTAACCAAAAGAATCACAAAACAAAATTCAAAATCTAAAGAGACATCTTCGAATACAATTTGGCCAATGAAACATATATGGTCAAAAAATGGAAAAAAAGAAAAAGGGAGGAAAAAAAACTTGAGATCTGGCATACAGACACACACTCTTGACAGGTACAGAGAGAGAAAGCAATAACTGATAGATGATTATATTATGAGGAAATACTTCTCAACTCCTTGCAGAATCACAGTGAAATTCAAAAGAGTAACAAGAAAATAGTCAATGGCTGATTTTAAATACTCTGACAATTACAGATTAGGTTTAAAAACAAAAATAAAAAAAAACATCCAGTCTCTCTTACCTGCTTGCTCCAAGCACTGAGCTGTGTCTTGATTTGCATCCTCCCTGCAAACAGAAGCCAAGCTCAATTGAAAAAAAAAAGAACCACAGCTTGCTTGCATCAAAGCTCCGGAAAATATGCTTCATGTTATGTGAGATGCAAAAGAGAATTTCTGGTTTAAGATGTTACCCTGGGTCCCTGACGGAGCAAAGCGCTCGTCGCATATGGGCTATTCCCTGCAAGAAAGAAGTCGGCTGGGCTTGTGAGTCACAGCTGCCAACGGTGTCTGTGGGAAAGGGTACTGTACACAGCACATAGTACTCCCGCACCTTCTGGTGATACAACCACGCCATTCCCCTGCACTGCCAGCGGGAGCCCTCAATGACAAAAAGAGAGGAAGAATATCCAGGGCTTGGGATGATCTTAGATCTGGGTCCATCACAGAGGTGGCTGGAGCCCCTGATCAGAGGAGGGAGGAGGTGACAGACTGAAGTGTAGAGAGTAGCCAGCTTGCGCGATGGCACATCCCGGGAGTCTGAGGTGCACAGCTGCCGTTGACAGAGCAGATGGCTGTGGCGTTTGGTCCACCACGCAGCCCACTAAGAGCGTGGAAGACAGAGCAGCGCCACGGACGTGATGGAACAATGACCTTATATCTGTAGATAACGGGCAGGAGCTGGACAACCAAAGCCACGGGTCACCAAATGGAGAAGGAGCTATTGCTGTCCCACCAGTAACTCTGCCAGGCTGGAGACCTAAGCCACCAGTGCAGAGAGAGCCCCTCAGATTTCCAGGTCCTCTTGTGATGCTCCTCCTATCTGTGGAGAACTCTTGGCCAGCCCTAGAGTGTGGGTATGACAAGCCAGCACTGGGGGGTCAGTTTTCTCTGCTGCCGAGAGCATGATGTAGCAGTCTGAAGAAGAGGAACTCCTGTCAGGTCATATACCAGTACAAGCTAGGCATCATGGCAATGCTGACACACACAGATGTATGGAGTGCATGTGGGTAAGGTGTGCATAGGGTATGATGGGATATGTGGAGTGCACAGAGGTATTCATGAGAGACATGGATGTATGAGGTGCACAGAGGCACAAAGTGCATAGGAGACACGAAAACCATGAAGAGTGTGGGGAAAATCGATGTATGATGTGTTACGGGCACAGCCAGACCTATTTACAACCTCTTCAACTCTCACTTCACTGCTCAGTATTGAGCAGCCTGCTGTTCTCCTGAGCTCTTCTTCCTCCTGAGACCTTCAGCGAATAACCCCTTCTCCTGCTCCGCTTGCCTCACCGACTTTCGACTTTCGTCTAGCCCCTTCGGCTTTGTTCACTCTTGGTCTACGGAACTGACCTGCACAGGGTTCTTCCTGACGCTCCATAACATGATGGTAGATGGTAGATGTGGATGTGTGACGTGGCACGGAAATGAAATGCAGGGGTGTTGACACAAAGCTCCAGACAGAAGTTCGGGATTTTGTAGCACACAGACTGGGAAAGCTGACCTCTGGGAGCGTGTTTTCATTACAGCGGAGGACAGCGCTCAGTGGAGGAAACAACTGCCTCTATACACAGTGACCCCCCTTGCAGACGCAGCCTCTACTATTTCAAAACCGATCCACAGAAATAAGACAAAAAGAAACACTCCTCACCAGCCATCAGAGATAGCCAGCCGAGAAACTAAGTGCAGGAAGAAAACAACAGCAGAAGGTGGTGACTGAAGAAAGACCAATGCAAAATAAGAGACCTATGGCAGAGCTCTCAGAGGAGAGATGCTGAACTTTTGAAATTCAGAAGTCAATGTTTTACTTTTAACTAGGAGACAGAATTGTGGAGTTAATGTGACTCAAACAGATGTTAAGGTCCTGCTCCCAGAGGAAATACTAATTTGTTCTCGTTTTTGGGAAAACTTCCAGTCCAGGAAAGAAAGGGACCGAAGAGTTCAGAGCAGGAGAAAATGGCCTCTTACATGAAGAAGCAAAACAATCTTACATGAAGAAGCAGAAGTGGCTAACCGGTGGAATAGGGGGAGAGGGCCCACACTATACACTGCACTGCCTAAGGAGTACTATGCCATTTCCCACAGACATTTATGGTCTCTGATACACAAGGTTCGTTTCCATACAGGCAGTATTGGGTTTGTGTGGCTACGTTTTGGGAGGAAAGGGAACTGGAGAATAAGATTATTTTGCGTTACAAAGTCATTTGCTTTTTGTTTTTTGTGGTTTGGACCGCTTACTTACGTACGCCCAGAGATCAGCCACTGTCGAATGCTGTCTTGTTTATAGTCTCCTGTTAACAGAAACAGGCCCAAGTGTGAGAGGTGCAGAGGGATACAGAACGATTAAATGCATTTCATCCTAGTGCTCACGTTTAGTGCTTTCTCAGGAATCTCTGATTCTGACTGACAGAAAATATCTGCAGACAAACACATCTACATGTGCAGCAAAATATTTATCAGCACCCCATTAGCTCAGCAAAGACAAAACGTAAGGTGGTGTTTCTTCATCCTTGTCCACTGGACTCCACTGTCTGCTGTTTTTTTATTCCAGCTGAGCTTTCTATTACTGAATTCATTAATTTGACCAAAGACTTACTTCATTAAAGTGCGTTTACGGGCACTAAAAAGTGCGCTGAATCAAAGGTAGAAGCACAGATCATTGCTGGACAATGATTTTGCTAATCCACTTGATTGCTTCTGTAGATGATGGAAGCTCCATCGCTGACAAGTGACACAGCGGCAAGCCTTGTTAAGTGATTTATCTGCTTTCTGCTCTGTCCCCTGTGTGTCTTATGAAAGGATATTCAACGCAGCAGTTATAGTGGTGAGCAAGCTGCGATCTGCTCTAAAATCAGAAAATGAGAACACGTTGCTTTGCGTACAAAAATGGTCACCGAAAAAGCCCAGATCACTCCTATACCATAAGGGCAGGTGTGTCTCTAAACTGGATTACCCATAAAAGGTACAAAAAGATAGCACTATCACTGAGCATCCCACAGTACATGTACTGTTCAGCAGCTACTTTACCAGGTTTGCTTTCGGTTAGTATTTGAGGAAGCTGCTGCTCATCCATCTCTGTCCATAGCCCCTTGGATGACATGAAGTTGGCTCGCCTTGCATTCTCAAAGTTGCTTCTACTGCACATCATTGTTCACCCTTCTAATATTTAATATTGCTCTGTAAAAGACATTAAAAACAGTCATTTACTAAAATCACAGCTTTCCTGCATAGTTCTGGCACATCTGTATGTTTTCTGCATTTTTTTCTAAATTGTGATGCATAATTTCAGGCAAATGCATGGGATAAAATTGTGAAGAGGCTAAGTATGCTCTCTTAAAAAAAAATATCCAGGTAAGACAGCTTCCTTCTTGATGATTTAACTTCTTGATTTTGAATTTTAATGGTGCTAATGACAACTACCACAAAGCGAGGTACATGTCCACAATTCCTCATTGCAATGGGATTCAGAAAGATGTGTTCTTATACTTTCCTGTGTTAGCAGATTTAATGGCATGCTTCAAAATACTTCAAAAGTATTTATCAGTCAACCTGAATGTGGCCTGGGCTAAATAATAATCCAGATGCTGTCTCTGAATGCCACCACTGACCATGGATAATGTCAAACTCCACTTTCAGATTATCACATTATTAAATATGTTGCAGACAATTTTTTTTGCTTCTTTATAAAAAAGATAGCTCTCACAAGCATGTGAATTAATGACAAACTGTTTTCACCCTATGAAAGTGAGGCCATGTCTAAAAACATTTTTCCAGCACACATTTTCTGTGCGCAATGTTACAATGGAGTAGATATCGTGCTGATAGGACCGAAACACATAAACAATTGTTTGAAAGGCAGATCAGCAAACCGTGCACTGCCACTGTGTTTAACACTCACTCAGTGAAGTTTGTATTTCAAAAAAAGTCTACCTGAGCAACCAGTGTTATGTTTAAGAACCCGCCTAAGGCATAATACTAGCCAGGCATTGTTGAGTTTGACTACACAGTCTGTGTAAAAACCAGTGACTGCACTCTGTTCCTGGAGCGCTGAAGGGATTGAGGCATTCTATTTTAAAATACCAACCTAGAGCAAATGCAAATTCACTCTGATAAGTACAGTAGTTGTTCACTGCAATCACATGTTTTATGCGTGACACGGCATTAATTACTATAGCACATCACTACTGGCCCCATGATAGATAAGGAAATGTAACAACTAAATTAATTTCACAGGGTTTAAGCAAGGAAATATATGTGAGACATAATATTACCATACCAGTATCATTAATTATAAGGTGCAATTCAATAAATCCATCCATTCATTCATTTTCTAACTGCTTCTTGCAATTCAGGGTCTTGTGGAAGACAGAGCCTATTCCAGCAACTGGGATTATCACAAATTATAACAAATAATTAAACTTGATTAATGTACTGTACTAAAACTGTTTTAATGGCATAAAGCTATTTTCTCAGCCAAATGTAGATAACATTTTTGCCATTTTTTTAATTTAATAAGCATTATTGATTTTGGAATGTTTTGGAATGAGCTTATTTATACCATATATAGCCTGACTAGATTTAGATCCACAGCTTCAATGGATCCTGGTGACTAGATTCTAATAGAAAAACATATATACACAAGATCTAATGAGTTCAGAAGAAAAGTACAGATGTTTTTTATGAAGTGAAATTCTCACAGAACAGAAGTTCCCTGCTTAAAACCCACATTATCTCACAATTTTACAATTAAACTGATTGGAATTGAAAGTACTGCATTTGAACAATAAAAGTAGAAGAAGAAAAACACAATCATTATTTCCAAAGACTAGAGTTTTTTAATTTGGCAAAATTAAATTATTAATTTCCTTTTTTTGTTTAAAAAACAAACTCATGGAATGATCAGAAGCTTAACTAGCATACTGAAAACAATATGTCTCCTCATCCTTTTCCTGTACATATATATTTTTAAACTTTGAGACATCTTCTACCAAACCACCATTAATGAGTAAATAAGGAACTAAAAAAATACTCAGTTTGTGCTTTCCTCTGCCTAATAAAAATCTTACCAAACTTTCCCAGTTGCTTCCAATTTAAAAATCTACATTTAGTAATGGAGTTAAAATGTTTCAATTATTTATGTTTTTCTTCCTTCCTATATTTTTCAAACCTTATAAAAATCCCAGTTCTCTACATGCTTTCTTACATATAAAAGAGATTTTGATCAGAAATGTCTGCTATTACATATTTTAATGGTAAATATTGTTACTATTTACTTTGAATTTTGCTTTCTAAAAATACTACATTTCATAAACAGTTTCTTAAGTATCACAACTCAAGATTCATCGATTGCACTTACATATCTTACAACTGAAGTGCAAATAGTTCAACTAGTTGATAAATGATTATATCAGGGCTCAAGCTGTGTCACTTAAAAGTAATTATAGAAGCAGGCACATACACAAACTGCATCATATAATAAGACAGTAAAGCTCCATATAAAGTTGAACGTTTAAGTATAAAACATTCCCATACACCCATACATAAGGAAAAATAAAATATTGACTACTGCAAAGCATCTCCTAAAAGCCTGTACAGAAAGGGAAACGTGAAAATACAGCAGCTTACGTACTGTATCTACCTGTATTTCAGACTGACAGATTAGTGAACACGGGACTATACCTCCTGCTATATCTATATTTACCCACCTTTTTGAGGGTGCACTACTTGTGCCATTCAATTCAATATTAAGAACATATTAGGTGCGTTACGCTGTACTGCTCATTAATTGTGTGGTTTTAAAAGTAAAACTTAAATATAAAGTCACAGAAAAATAAAAGGATGTTATTTACCTATTGCGGTATAAATTCCTCAGTTAGAAGGCACATCCGGGGCACGAAAATGAATTGAAGCATTTTGACATTTTTGACCACTGCCCAACACGAGCTCTCGTGAACTACCCTACCGCACCGCCGTCATCGTCGTTTGTCCGGGCCACGCGGTGCGAACAGGAGCGCACGAATTCTCCTGCCTTTGCGCCAGTCCGCCCACTTGTCATGTGAGACGGACTGTACTGTAAATGTCTGTAACGAGATCCTGCCCAAGGCAGCCCGGAATGCAATAACAGGAAATCAAATGCTGAGTTGAGGCAAAACAGCGACGTGTTTATTGGAAGAAAGGAGGAAATGCGTTTCAGATATTCTTGAAATACATTTAATATGTAATGTAATTTATATAGGGACAGCAAATCGTGTTCCATACACGGATTTTCGCCCACCTTTTGAAGTGAGCAAAAGTTGGGGCATATTTCTGATTCACGGAAAATATTACAATGTTGAGATTAAATGGGAAAAAAAGAAGGCGAAAAAGTGCGTGCATACATTAAATGCTGGGTTTCGATTAAACAACATGGTGTTTTCGAAAACATGTATATTTTTATTAAATTATGTGTATCTTACCTTAACACGTTCAGGGTTGTTGTAAACGAGCGCAGAGAGCAGGGAACACTTCCTAGATGAGGTGGTGCTCTTCAAAGCAGCTCTAGTTCCTATCTTTCTCCCCCACCACTTACTGTACAACTTTCCCGTATTTTGATAAAACTTATCTTGGTCTCATCTGCACATAATATTTTATTCCAAAGCACTCCTGGCACATTTTTGTACTTCTGACCAAATTCTGAAGCACAGTGGAGGTTATGACGTGGCTTGTGAATACGGTAAAAGCCTGTCTCTGAAATCGGCTCATATTTATTAATGCCATACTGTAACTGATGATGGCATCAGCCGAATCAATTCTAAAGCTTCCAGACCCAAACCATACAGCCAATGCTTCAATCCAATTGACTGTGTGGATTTCTCATGCTGAAGAAATGAATCCAGCCAGAACACTCCATAAACATGAACTCAAAGTAGCTGCAGCAAAGGCTTATCAAATGATAGCACGAAGGTTAACAGGCTGCAGACTACATTCAGTTGTTGTCTCAGATATGTTAACTTCAATGCATACAAACGTTTACTCTCTGAAATTGGGAGAAATTTAAAGAAAGTGAATGAGTCCATATACTGTACGTATGGTCACTTGATTTCGATGGGTTGAACACAAAGTATGTTTTTGTTCAAATGTGATCAAATGTATGTAATAAAAGACATAATACAACTTACGTTGCACTTGTTACTTATATTAATACAGTTTTCTGGGCTGTAAAGCAAAAATAACAGTTTTGACTTTGCTGTTTTTTTTGCTGTTCCAGTGTCTTTGGAGGACATTGTATATACAATAAGTGAAATGAGCAAGGACACATGCATGTTAAACCAGGGCTCTAGACAAACATCCCCACTGCCACTGGGAAAAATGGCAGTGTTTCCTCTAAATGTCTGAGAAATGCACTAGTTCAGCCGTTTGGAACTGCTGGTACAATCTGAGGATCAAAAATTAGGTTTATATGAGCAGGTTAGCTGGGGTTCTGGTAAATTGAGAAGATCTTACTTATCCATCTAATGGCTCACATCTGCAGATAAACAAAGTTGAGACACTTTTCAATTGCTACTACTGTTTTCTTTACAGAGAAGCAGGTTTTCGTTGAGTTTAAACACCAAACAAGGAGTTGTCACGTCAAAAAAAGTTGCATTTAATGCTGAAGTTGTGTATGACCTCTGCACTTGATGAAAATCAGCATTTTCAATTTAATGTAAGAATGCAATTCACACACACCCCTTAACCCATTTACATAATCATATATTTTATTTAAGACGAGAAAGATGCATGAAACATGTTATCTCAATATCAATGGTGTGATATTTTCAAGCCTGTCTCTCAATTTCTGTCCAATATTGTCTCAACATATCATAAAAAGATATGACATTTTCTCGGTTTTGCATTTTCAGGTGATAAAATCAAAATTCCTGCAGTTTAATTATAGCTGCACAATGTTTTTTTATGCCTGTATTAGAAGAAAAGTCCCGACATTAAGACATTTACATAGTGGTACTGGAAAGTCACACTTTATGCAAGTTTTTAAAGGGGGAGGAATCACTTTCTATCTCTTATTGGAAGCTAAACGTTTTCTGCAACCCACGCACAAAACAATTTGTAATTGTAATTTGCCTTTCTGTCATCAGTTGGTCTGTGCTTATGACTCTCTCAACACAATGCAAATTATCAGCTTCATTAACCTGACACAGTTTTTGCATGTGCCTTAATAAAGTGTATCACAAAGTATTTTGTTTTTACATCACACATGTAAATAGGCATAAACTCAGTAAAGGCATAACTCCTAGACCGATTCCCCATCTGCACATAATATTATTGTGACTGACAAACACTCTTTTAGTTGACATGTGCTAAATACACTTTCACATGCAGACTGTTGCTCACTGCTTAAAGTCATAATATGTTATAGTAATAGTCATACTAATACACTGAACATAAACTACAAAAGATGGAAATTCATTTAATCCAAAAGAGTTTAGATTTTCACATTTACCTCCACATTTGTCAGATGAAATTGAAAGTAAAGGATTATGTGGTCTTGATTTGTTCAATCTAAAGCAGGTATGCTGAGTGACTACCTTCAATTTCAGTAATACATTTTAGCATTGCTAATATTTATGAATAGCAACGGATACATGTTTTAAAATCACCATTCTTCAGCCGATCAAAAGACCTGATTAAAGAAGTATCAGGATGAGTTTTGTGCCATACACTTTCAATACCATCTTTCTAGCAGTAGATGTCACTAAGACACCAAGGGAAGCCAATCCTCAGATCCATTTGAAAAATTGAATCACACACATGATGAAAAATGAAACAAAAACTTTCAAAGAAGACTGCTCTTCACAACAGTGGACATAGTGGCTTCTTTTTTAACAGATGTGGAACAGGAGATGACTGGGTATTTTGTGTTCTGTGATGGACTGAGATAAGATTATAGAGCTAGTTTATCCGATTTTATGAAGTACTTGGTTTCACAGTGTATACTGTAGCTGATCTTGAAATATGTAAATTACTGTATGTTACCATTGCTCTTATCTTACATTAAGACTGGGATAATCTGTTTTCATTAATCGTCCTGTTCAAGAGATATATTTAGAGCTACTGTAAGTGTGTAGTGTATAGTTAATTCTAGTTTCACGTTTTCACTGGCAGCACAGTTGAATTTATTACGCAGTCACTATTCATTTACTACTCAGTCACAATGCAAACTATACTTCTGTTATTTAAACTATTTAAAATATTCAATGTATTATTTTCTCATTGTTGTCGCCATTGCAAATAATTACATACATTAAGTGTCAAAATGTTTATTATTAGATATTATTATTACTCCCAAATTATTCAATTTATTGACAATCAATGTGCATAATATATTTTGTCCTTCTAATGTTATGCCACAATATATACTTTTTTTTTTTCAGAATAATGGAACCTTTCCCCCCATTTAAATACCAAATACCCAAATAAAACAGTAAGGGCAGAAAAGTAAAATTGTGTGTGCTGAACCAAGACACAATAAGATCTCCTATTACACATACAGTATAAACTGGTATTGTAAGTATTGTTTATCATTCTTCTATTATGTCTACCCAACTAAACTGCATTTGGAATATTGCTACATTAATAAGACAGACTATTCATTTAAAACCTTTCCGTTTTAAATGTATTTGTTATTTGAAAAAAAAATACTCTCATACAAATCAGTGTGTTTCGGAAAAAAGTAAAACAAAAAGCTTTTCAGGCATTGCACGTACTGTACATGCCTATCAAGTAGCACGCACATAGCGGTATTACATGGTTTGTCTGAAATTATTTGCAACGATCTGTTCCGATCTACCAAGACCGCTGTTTGAAAAAAAAAAAACTTATGTTTCATGCTTCACTCACCATCCATGTGGAGTTTCTCAATCTGCACCCTACACCATAACCCCCACCATCCCACTCCCCTAAAGCCTTTTCTACTTAAAAAAAAATCCCAAGGCAGATTCATTTGGGATGTAATGGAATTCTGTTTCTCATACTATACATTTCAACGTGGCAGGAACGTTTGAGCAGCCTGCGACTGATAATTTAATTATGCGACAGCTGTTATATTGTGCCCGCAACCAGGTTTTTCTTCACAGAAGTCTTGTATAATGTTACTCATCATAAACCAGCTTAGGAGACCAAATTGTGTGCGCAGCAAACAAATATGGTTGTAGGCAGAAAACTGTGGCATATTATGTCAAGCAAAGGGGGAACCTTAGAGAGTGAGCGTTCTCTCTCCCAGTGCAGGCGTCTGAGCCACTTGAACTAAAATTGAGTTAATATCAATTACCCCTGTTCTGCTGCACACTTGGAAGACTTTTGACTAGGACCCGGTCTGAATATTTTATTGGGATTATCATTTTAAACAGGCTTGAGCAGTGCTTTGAGATTAGCATGGAATAATTGATTATACACGTGCAATGGCCAAAAGGCACCACTGGGTGGCAAACCTTTTCTTTTGCTCTTGAACACCAGGTCTGTCAAGCAAGGAGCTGTTATTGGACGCAGATTGAGATCTTGGTTATTCAGAGAAGGCCCGTGATGGATGTCTTTCCATAATTAAGTTAGTCTGAACACTTCACATTACAACCACTGTCTTTGAAATGACAACAATCCGGTTACTGACAAATATACTGTTAAGCGCCTTCCCCCAGCACTGTGCAAAGCTTATGTCCCTGTAAATATGTTTCATGTCGGCTGCATATGAGTTTCTGGCAGCTCCTCTTTGTGCTTTGTATTATATCAGAGTGGAGTTATCTTTGTTTTGGAGTTGTTGTTTTGTTTTGTTTTTTATTTGGGGGAGAGTTTACATTTTATTTGATTAATTTATTTGGATGGCAATGTGATCCAAATTGACAGCGCATTTGAAAAAGTTAAGAGAACAGTTAGACATCGGAGGGTGAAAGTTTGAGCAAGGATCAAGGGTACGAGGTTCAACAGAAATGCCCTATCACTCTGGTTATTAGTCCAGAGTCCCAGCAATCACTCCACTCTGCTGCCTGTCTTCAGAGCACATCAATTCTTTAACAACAGCAAACTCACAAGCTTTATTTTTTTTACAGTTTGGACAAACACAATTCTTTGGATTCTACAGTACTTCTAGAAAATCATTTCTACATCTTCTGTGAAATAAAGTTATTGGATTGCTTCATGTTTTTTACTTTATACCCTTGACATGAATAAATAATGATGGACAAGCTATTAATGTGATCAAAAATATCTTTGACTTTAAGTGCTTGAATTGTCAGAGAAATTTTCATTTAAAGTACAATTATACAGTATCATAGAGTGTATTTTAAAGCACTTTCTTGAAGCCTAAAATAACTATTTTTTAATTTATCCAAGCTACTTAATCTTCCCAAGATAAAGTTAACTAATACCAAGAGCTCTTATTTATGGAAAATACATACAGTATTTGTGTTTCTCTTTTTCTTCCTCATACAATGTCTTACAGGCTTTTGAAATCTAGAGATCGTTTCAGAACACCTGGAGCAAGGTTTACTTTAGACCAACTTTGAATATTACAATGAACTTCGGAGGTTAAAAACAAATCAAAACCGCCACATGACAAACATTTTGATATACAGTTCTCACCGATACATGACACAGCTGCAGTAAATATGAATTGCAAATAAGAATTTAGTACTTATTATTTGATATTTACAGTATGATACACAAATA